CTACGCAAAACTCTCTAGTATCCAACACAAATTCATGTAAATTATAGGAGAACTCTAAGAAAGAACAGCTAAAATATCTTAGATATAGTTTTAATCTATTTTATTTTGAAAGCGGTAATCCCTGTCAGGGATATATGGTAACTTTCTGCTAACCAGAATGTCTGATTAGCCAAAACCTTAAAAACATGTTAAGATTGAAACAAAAAAACCTTTGCTTTACATGAAAATATAAATTTGTAAATATTATTGTTAGTTCTCATGCCATTTATTGTTATTTCTTTAGCGTGACAGGTTATAAAGCCAGTAGTTTATGTTTATGTACACTAAAGTACTAGAAGTATTTCTTCCTTTTAAACAAAAGTATTTATCTTCTTTTAACAAAATCATACAATGAATAACAGTAACACAGTCATGCATCACTTAAGACAATGAGAATACATTCTGAGAAATGCACTGCTGGGCAATTTCATTGTTATGCAAACATCTTAGAGTGTATTTACATAAACCTAGATGGTATGACTGACTAGACGTCTATGCTGTATGGTATAGCCTATTGCCCCTTAGCTACAAACCGGTACAGGATATTACTATACTGAATACTGCAGGCAGCTGTAACACAATGTTAACTATCTGGGTATTGAAACATATGTAAGCATAGGAAAAGTACAGTAAAAGATACGGTATTATAATTTTATGGGACTACTGTCATACACATTCCACTGTTGACCAAAATGATGTAATGAAAGTGCTTAAAAAAAAAAAATGACAAAATTTTAGCTAGAAAAAAAAAAAGAGGAGTGAATATGCAAATCGGAGATGAAAAGGACATTACCACAGAAATATGAAGAATCATAAGAAACTATTATGAATAGCCATTAATGAATAACTACAATAACAAGTCTGATAACACAGAAGAAACAGATAAATTCTTGGACACATACAATCTACCAGGATTCAATTATGAAGAAATAGGAAATCTGAACAAACCCATAACAAGTGAGGAAATTGAATCAGTAATAAAATTTTTCATCAATGAAAATTCCAGGACCTGATGGCATCATTGCTGAATTCTAACAAATATTTAAAGAAAAACTAATACCAATTTTCCTCAAACGATTCTAGAAAATTGAAGAAGCGGGAATACTTGTAAACTCATTATATGAGGCCAACATTACCAATTTCAAAACTAGACAAGGACATGGTAAGAAAAGAAAACTACAGACCAATATCCTCGATAAACATAGGTACGAAAATTCTCAACAAGATGCTAGCAAACTGAATCCAATCACGCATTAAAAAGTTCACTGCGATCAAGTGGGATCCATCTCAGGGATGCAAGAATGGTTCAAAATACACAAATCAATAAATGTGATAAACCACATTAACAGAATCAAAACAAAAAATGATAGGATCATTTCAATAGATGCAGAAAAAGCATTTGACAAAATTCAACATCCCTTCATGATTAAAAACTTCCAAAAAAATTAGATACAGAAGGAGCATACCTCAATGCAATAAAGGCCATATATGACAAACCCATAGCTAACATCATACTGAAGGAACAAGAACATCCACTTTTACCACTTGTATTCAACATTGTACTGGAAGTATTAGAGCAATTAGGCAAGAAAAAGAAATGAAGGGCATCTAAATTGGAAAGAAGGAAGTCAAATTATCCCTGTTCACAGACAACATGATCATATACATGGAAAACCCTTAAGACTCCACCGAAAATCTCTTTGAGATAATAAATGAATTCAATAAAGTTGCAGGACACTAATCAACATACAAAAGTCAATGGCATTTCTATATGCTAATAGTGAACTATCTGGAAAAGAAAACAAGAAAACAATTCAATTTATAATAGCTACCAAAAAAGCAAATCTAATCAAGGAGGTGAAAGATCTTATGTTGAAAACTCTAAAACAGGGATAAAAGAAATAGAAGGGGATACAATAAATGGAAAGATGTCTCATGATCATGTATTGGAAGAATTAACATCATCAAAATAATCATACTTTCCAAAGTGATCTACAGATTTAATGCAATCCCTATCAAAATTCCAGTGTCACTCTTCATAGAAACAAAAAAAAATCATAAATTTCGCATGCCAAATTTGAATAGTCAAAGCAATCCCTGAGCAAAAAGAACAAAGCTGGAGGCATCACACTACCTGATTTCAAAATATGCCACAAACAACCAAAAATTAACCAAGAAAAAAACAAACAATAAAATATACCACAAAGCTACAGTAACCAAAAGAGCATGGTACTGGCTGGCATAAGACAGACACATAAACCAATGGAACAGAAGAGAGAGCCCAGAAATAAATTAACATACCCAAAGCCATCTGATTTTTGACACAGGTACCAAGAACACACATTGGGAAAAAGTCTCTTCAATAAATGGTGCTGGGAAAACTGGATATCCACATGCAGAAGAATGAAACTAGACCCTTACCTCTTACCATATAGAAAAACCAACTCAAAATGAATTGAAGATTTAAGTATAAAACTCAAAACTATGAAACTCCTAAAAGAAAACGTAAGGGAAATGCTTCAGGCATTGGATTGGGCAAGAATTTTAATAAGACCTCCAAAAGCACAGGCAACAAAATCAAAAATAGACAAATGGAACTACATCAAACTAAAAAGCTTTTACACAGTGAAGGAAACAACAGAGTGAAAAGACAACCAAGAGAATGGGAGGAAATATACGCAAACTATACATCTCGCAAGGGATTAATATCCAGAATATATAAGAAACTAACAGCAAGAAAACAAGATAACCCAGTTAAAAATGGGCAGAAGGATAAATGGCCTTCAGCTCCATCCATGTGCCTGCAAAGGACATGATCTCATTCTTTCTTCTGGCTGCTTAATACTCCATGGGGTATACAGGGCATTATCCTTAGCAAACTAATGCAGTAACAAAAAACCAAATACCACATGTGCTCAGTTATAAGTGGGAGCTAAATGATGAGAACACAAGGACACATGGAGGGGAACAGTGGACACTGGGGCCAATTGGAGGGTGGAAGGTGGGCGGAGCGAGAGGATCAGGAAAAACAATTAATGGGTACTAGGCTTAATGCCTGGGTAATGAAATAATCTGTCCAACAAACTCCCATGACACAAGTTTACCGATAAAATAAACTTGCACATGTACCCCTGAACTTAAAGTTTAAAAAATAGGCAAAAGACCTTAACATAAATTTTTCAAAAGAAGACATTCAAATGGCCACCAGGTATATGAAAAATGCTCAACATCACTAATCATCAGGGAAATGCAAATCAAAACCACATTGAGACACCACCTCACTCCAGTTAGAGTGGCTATTATCAAAAAGAAGAAAAGTGTTGGCCAGGTGTGATGGCTCACACCTGTAACCCTTTGGGAAACCAAGGCAAGAGGACTGCTTAAGCCCAGGAGTTTGAGACCAACCTGGGCAACACAGTGAGACATCATCTCTACAAAAAAAATAATAATAATAAAAAAACGAGGTGGGAGGATCGTTTGAGCCCAGAAGGTCACTGCAGTGAGCCGTGATCATACCACTGTACTACCACCTGGGTGACAGAGTGAGACTCTGCCTCAAAAAACCAAACAAACAAAAAAACAAGTGTTGGCAACGATGTGCAGAAAAGGGAACACTTTATACACTGTTAGTGGGATTTGCAAATTAGTGGTCTCATTATGTAAAACAGTACAGAGGTTTCCAAAAAAATTAAAAACTGAACTACCGTCTGATCCAGCAATCCCATTACTGGAAATGAAATGAGTATGTCAAAGAGATGCCTGCACTCCTGTGTCTGCTGTAGCAGTATTTACAAGAGCCAAGATATGCAATCAACATAAGTGTCCAATAATGGATGAATGCATAAAGGAAATGTGGTACATCATATACACAATGGAATACTTTTCATCCATAAAAAGAATGCTATTCCGTCATTTGTGACAATGTGGATAAAACTGGAGAATATCATGTTAAGTGAAAAAAGCCAGACATACTAACACTGCACGATCTCACTCATATGTAGAATCAAAACAAAAACAAAAACAAAAACAAAAAAAAGTTTATCTCACAGAGGCAGAGTAGAACAGTGGTCACTAGAAAACAGAGAGAGGAGAATGAGGAGAGGTTGGTCAACATGTACAAAGTTACAATTAGATAGGTGGAATAAGTTTTGGTGTTCTATTGCATAGCAAGGTGACTATGGCTCAAAGTAAAGTATCGCACATTACAAAATAGCTAGAAGAGAGGCTTTTGAATGTTTTTTTTTTTGAGATAGAGTCTTGCTTTGTCAACCAGGCTGGAGTGCAGGGTCACAATCAGCTCACTGCAACCTCCACCTCCCAGATTCAAGCGATTCTCCTGCCTCAGCCTCCTGAGCAGTTGGGATCACAGGCACACGACACCACGTCCGGCTTATTTTTGTATTTTTTTTTTTTTTAGTAGAGATAGGGTTTCACCATGTTGGCCAGGCTGGTTTCAAACTACTGACCTCAAGTGATCCACTCGCCTCTGTCTCCCAAAGTGCTGGGATTATGGGTGTGAGCCACCACGCGTAGCCTGAATGTTCTTATCACAAAGAAGATCATGATAAATGCATGACCTGATAAATACCTCATGAAAAATGCATGATAAATGCATTACAATCGCCAAGATATGAAATCAACCTACGAGTCCAATAACGATGAACGCATAAAGGAAATGTGGTACATATACACAATGGAATACTTTTCATCCATAAAAAAGAATGCTATTCTGTCATTTGTGACAATGTGGATAAACCTGGAGAATATCATGTTAAGTGAAAAAAGCTTTTTTTCCCCCACTTAACACTTAAAATGCATGAGGTATTCATCGTGCTCATTAGCCTGATTTGATTATATATCACATATATCTATTGAAACATCAAAATGCACCCCATAAACATGTACAATTATAATGTCAATTTAAATAATAAATTTTTTTAAAATTCCCCCAAATTCAGTACCTGTTCTGATATATTGTAATCCAAACATTCTCTAGGATAGACCAGATTTCTTGATGCCTGCTGGGTTGGGGAAGATGAGAACTCGAGAAAACAGTGATTTCTTGATTATGAGACTTCATCAATGAAGTACCTTCCTGCTTTTTAGTCACTGTGTTTTCTGAAGAATTTGGCTTAAGTTTTGTCTTGACCTGGGGAAATAAGAATTACATAAAATGCAGCTAGTTCTTCATTTGCAGATGAGAAAAAGAGAATGGCAACTGTGCTTACAAATGTTCTAGCTTTCTGAGAAGTAGTGGCAATTCTTTTTCTTTTATTATGTACACAATATTACGTACATCAGAGCTAGAAATTTTCCTTTTCCATTTAAATCAAACGATATTTCTAATCTACTTATAATGATTTGTTCAGCTAACATGCTAATGTCAATTAAAGAATACTGCTTGAACACTTCTACATATGTAGTACTGAAAGAGATAGAGGACCCCTAGAATACAAAGTATAGAGGTACAATCAAGTCTTGAAGCACCTTACAATTCAGTTTTAAGAAAATGTAAAGGGCTGCAAAGGGTTGTTTTAAAAAAATCAAGAGATAATTTAAACCTCAAGTTTTGGGTAATGGTGAACCACTGAAGGTTTCTAACTTAGGCAGTGATATACTCAGAAGTGCACTCTAAGATAAACTAAAACAGATGAAAGAGGAGGCAAGAAAACTGGTTAGAAGGTTACTGAAATAATCCAAGAGGAGAGTCCTGAGAACATGGATTAGCTATAAAAAGGCAGCAGAATGAAAAGAAAAATAAAATGCATGCAAGAAATATAAAGATTTGGTCAAAGACTAGATCCAGGGAGTGAGAGAGACCCTAAGACATTCTTTAACCCAGATGTGTTAGAAGAATGATACAAATAGTAGGAACTTAGGGTGGTCATAAATCTAGAAGTGTGTGTGCGCGCGCGCACACTAAGTAGATTGAACCTTCTTGATTACTTCTGCAGAGGAATGTATACAGTTTTAGTCAGTAAAAGTCAAACAAATACTTTATACAGGAATTGATGGAAATGCTATTTGATGTTCCACAATCACTGCAATTTTAAACATCACATTAACTTATGCATTGCTAATGACGGACAATACACTAAACATATCAGATATTACAGTGTAGTAGCAATAAACTGTAGTGAGTAGTATTTGTCTATGTTTCCAAATTTCATGGCCTCTTGTTGTAAAGCTAAGAAAAGAGGCTGCTTGCAAATAAGAATCTTCTTTGGATGAAGAGAATATAAGTTTGTTTTTTAGGTATACATTGAGTTTGAGGTATAAAAAATTATCCAGGTAAAGATAGCTAGCAAGTAATTGGACATGTAGATCTGCAGCTTAAAAATACAGCTGAGGGTCATTCTCATGGAGACAAGCCTTAGGAGATGAAATAGACAAACTGAAGGGGGAAAAGTAGGAACTACCGAAAATAAGAGGGGAAGAATCAGTATGCAATAGACAAAGGAGTCAGGTTTCAGGAAAGAAACGATAGACACCACCAAGTGCTGAAGAAGGACTGAGAAGGAGGAGGAGAAGAAGAAGAAAGAGAAAAGAGTAAGTCTGATAATCAGTAAGCAAATGACAACCTATGGTTTCTTTCAGTGGAGTGTGGAGATAAAATTCTACTGTAAAGGATTAAGGGGTAAGTGAGCGCTCTAGCCTTATTGGCTAAAAAAAAAAGTTGGCAAAAAAAAAAAAAGAAAACAAAAGAAAAAAGAGACAAGAAAATAAAACAAACCAAAAAAAGAGTGCAAAAAGGAAAACAATGGTTAGAAATTGCTTTTTTTGTTGTTTTTTGGTTTTTGGTTTTCTTTTTTTTTTTGAGACAGGGTCTCACCCTGTCACCCAGGCTGGAGTGCAGTGGCGTGATCTCGGCTCACTGCAACCTCTGCCTCTAGGACTCAGGTGATCCTTCCACCTCAGCCCTCCCCAGTAGCTGGGACCAGAGGTGCAAGCCATCAGGCCCAGCTAATTTTTGTTATTTGTTATAGAGCCAGAGTTTCGCCATGTTGCCCAGGCTGGCTGGTTGCCCAGATTGGTTGTGGCTCAACCAGTCCGCCCACCTTGGCCTTCCAAAGTGCTTGGATTACAGGTATAAGCCACCATGCCTGGCCATAAATTGCTCTTTAAGAAGTTTGGTAGTTGATGGAAGAACAGTGCAGTAAATAGAATGGCCAATGAAAAGTACGGTATTTAAGAACAGAAAAGATCTAAGCATATTTTAAAGCACAGTAAAAGAGATATACAATTGATTCCAGTTATATATATATATATATATCCACGTGAGATATATATATATATCTCACGTGGAGGAAAAAAGGAAAAGTACCTAACAGAATGTACATTTTAACTATAAGTTTAGAAACTTAGTTTTTTAGTCTTTGCTCTATATACATACACAAAGCATATAAATACGCTTTGTAAACTTAAATAAAATCACTCTGTTTCTCTAGGCTTAAGTTCCCTCTGATAAAATGATGATTTCAAAGGATTAGCTTCATGGATTGCTAATTTAATACATATTAAATTTTTTTAATACAATTTCCAATAGTATCAGTAGTAACAGTTAATATTTATTGAGCGTTTGTTATGTACTTTCTCAGAATTCCATATTTATTAGCTCATTTAATCCTAACAACTACTTATGAAACAGATACTATGATGATCCATATTTTATAATCAAGGAAACTGAGGCATAGAAAGGTTAATTAACTCATCCAAGGTCACACAGATGACAAGACGCATGAACAGGATTTGACCTTTGGCAATCTGACTAGAATGAGGTTATGAACTCTCTCCATCTGTAAAAGTAAATGTTATCCTTCTTTATCTTCTGGGGCAAGAATAAAAATTAAAAAGATGATTCTTCCCATTTTTGCCTATTTACATTAAATTCTGAACTTAATAAATAGACAAAATGAAAAGACATTTTATCCTGAGATAATTTTTTATCACTAAATATATTTAAAATACAGCCCAGCATTTAGATAATGCCTCTTTTCTTTAGCTCTTAAACAATAGTATATATACTACGCAAGTGGATTTCTTTATCAAACACTACATGCTAGACATTAAGGTTTCCACAAATATTAACTTGTTAATTCACACAATAATTCTAACGCCAGCATTATTAATACACTCATTTTGCAAAAGAGAGAAATAAGGTCCAAAGAGTTTAATTAGAGGTTAAAAACACCACAACTCAGGACCCTGAGGCACATAAATCTAAAGCTTATTAACAAGATTGATTTTAATTACTCTATCATCTTAGTAAAAAGCAAGTCCTTTTTTTTTTTTTTTTTTTTAAGTGGTTAGAAGGCCCATAAAATAAAAATGTATGTATCCTTTTCCTATTTCTCCCCTCTTATATGAAAATCTGGAAAAGGCAGGGCACAATGGTTCATGCCTGTAATCCTAGTAATTTGGGAGGCTGAGGCGGATTGCTTGAGGCCAGGAGTTCAAGACCAGCCTGGACAACAAAGTGAGACGTAGTCTCTACAAAAAAATTTAAAACTTAGCTCAGCATGGTGGCACATGCCTGCGGTTCCAGCTATTCAGGAGGCTGAGGCTGGAGGATCATTTGACATGAGGTCAAGGTCAGAGAGAGCTTGATCACAACTCTGCACTCGGGCCTGGGCTACAAAGCGAGACCCTGTCTCCAAAAAAAAATCTGGAAAATGATAGTTTATCTCCATTTTAGTTTCTCAGAAGCAATCAAATAATGAACATTCCTCTTCTTCTGATTTTCTACACTTAATAAATTAAGATTAGGTAGTTTTTACAGTTACTAGGAGATACCGCTTCTTTGGAGGTAATCTATTTGTTGTTCAAGTTACTGAGACATGACCAAATATATAAGACATATATAAAATCTAATACATTCTATAAAACAACTCCTGTTAAAAATATATTTTAAAGCATCAGTCCCCAACCTTTTTGGTAACCAAGACTGGTTTCATGGAAGATAATTTTTCCATGCACTGGTGAGTGGGAAGATGGTCTCAGGATGATTCAAACACAGTCAATTTATTGTGCACTTTATTTCTATTATTATTACATTGTAATATATAATGAAATAATTGGCCGGGTGCAGTGGTTCATGTCCGTAATCCCAGAACTTTGAGAGGCCGAGGTGGGTGGATCACCTGAGGGCAGGAGTTCGAGACCAACCTGGTCAACATGGTGAAACCCCATCTCTACTAAAAACACAAAAATCAGCCAGGTGTGGTGGCAGGCACCTGTAATCCCAGCTACTTGGGAGGCTGAGGCAGGAGAATCACTTGAACCCGGGAGGTGGAGGTTGCAGTGAGCTGGGGTCGTACCATCGCACTCCAGCCTAGGCAACAAGAGAGAAACTCCATATCAAAAAAAAAAAAAAAAAAGAAAGAAAGAAAGAAAGGAAAGAAATAATTATACAACTCACCATAATGTAGAATCAGTGGGAGCCCTGACCTTGTTTTCCTGCAACTAGACAGTCCCATCTGGGGTGATGGGAGACAGTGATAGATCATCAGGCATTAGATTCTCATAAGGAACATACAACCCAGATCCCTCGTATGCACAGTTCACGACAGGGTTCATGCTCCTATAAGAATCTAACCCCACTGCTGATCTGACAAAAGGCGGGGCTCAGACAGTAATGTGAGTGATGGGGAGCGACTGTAAATACAGATTAAGTTTTGCTTGCTTGCCTGCTGCTCACCTCCTGCTATGCCAATACCAGTCATGGCCCAGGAGTTGGGGACCCCTGTTTTAAAGGACTATACTAAATCATAAAGTTCTTGGTTTACTCAGACAATCAACTGTTTCTAACACAAAAATAAAGGTGCAACACTTCAGAGTTCTAATCCTGGAAACAACATGGACAGTTTCGAGTAATCACACTAAAGCCAAATGTTGAGGGAAAAAGCACCAGGAGGACGCTGGATTCTTTGCTACTCGTCTTCATGAATCTCTTTTTAATGTAGCAAATGAAACTCGAGATCCAGAAATAAATAATTTATTAACAAGTCAATGGTTTTTTGTTTTTGTTTTTTTGAAATGGAGTCTCGCTCTGTCTCCTAGGCTGGAGTGCAGTGACACAATCTCGGCTCACTGCAACCTTTGCCTCCTGGGTTCAGGTGATTCTCCTGCCTCAGTCTCCCGAGTAGCTGGGACTACAGGTATGCGCCACCATGCCTGGCTAATTTTTGTATTTTTAGCAGAGACGGGGTTTTGCCATGTTGGCCAGGCTGGTCTTGAACTCCTGCCCTCAGGTGATCCTCCCACCTCAGCCTCCCAAAGTACTAGGATTACAGGCATGAGTCACCACGCCCAGTCAAGTCAATAGTTTTATGTATGCAATGGGCAACATATATGCAGTAGGCATATCATTATCTGACAAACAACACAAAATTTTAACATCATATTTTCATAGTACCTCCCATCCGTAGGTTTTTATTGATGAAAAGGGTTAAAAACTACACATTTTTTTATTTCAATTAATCCTAAATTTTGTTTTATTCTCAATAATCTTAATTAAAAGACTGTTAAGACTAAGTAACCTGCACTTTCCATCTTTCACTACATTTTTTTCACTAAGGATATGATTTAGGACTCAATTTTGTGACAGGAAAGGAGAACACATCTTTTCCAACACAATCAAGGTACAATACTCATGCTATAACCCTCTAAATCCCTAGGCCCATTTTTTCCTACTAATAGTTCTAAAAATGACGCTTGCCATTAAAAAAATAAAACTACCAATGTTTTGGTCACCCCAAACCAAAAGATCATTTCACCCCTCAAATACATTCTTTCCTCAAGAATGATCACATAATTCCACTCAGTTTATTTAAAAAGCTGCTTTCTTTACTCCATGAAGTATTCTCTCAGCAAGGAAGTGCTTTCCTCATCAACTATGATTAATGTTAGCATCATCTAATCCTTTGATTACTTCATAGGTAGGGGACCTATTTGATATGAAAAATCAATGAGAAAAACCTGGACAATTCAGTTTCTCAGAGAAAAAAGAGAACATAATATCTATACTGGATAAAAGTTCCATTCATATCTCTTCTAGTAGTAGTGATAACTGAAGTTTTTTGAGCTGTTTATGCTACATAAAACTCTCCGATTTTTCTAGACTTGAAATTACAGGCCAGGCACAGTACCCCACAACTGTATTCCCAACACTCTGGGAGGCTGAAGCAGAAGGATTGCTTGAGTCCAGGAGTCAAGACCAGCCTAGGTATTAGGGCAAAACTCTGCCTCTACTAAAAATACGAACAATTAGCCAGGTGTGGTGGTACATGCCTATAGACCCAGCTATTTGGGGGGCTGAGGTGGGAGAAGCACTTAAGCCCAGGAGGTGGAGGTTGCAGTGAGCCCTGATCGTGCCAGGGTGACAGAGTAAAACCCTGTGTCAAAAAAATAAAAAATTAGAAGACTGTAATACCGAGGACAAAAATTACAGAGTTAAGTTTAAAAGATAAAAAGGCATCATCAGCTAAGATGGCTGCATGAGAATTACATGAAACTTACTAAAAACTGTAGTTACACAGGATATCCTTATTTTTAGAAAATGCAGATGGAAATATCCAGGGGAAAAAGGGCACCTAGGAGAAAAAGGGCATCCTATCTGCAACATACTATCAAATAGCTCAGAAAAAAACATAGATAGGTAGATAGATGGACAGACAGACAGGTGGGTAGGTAGAAAAAGAAAACAATAAAGCAAATGTGATAAAATATTAACATTTGGAGAATCAGGGTAAATAATATATATGGGAATTCTTTGTACTGCTCTTGTAACCTTTTTATAAGTTTGAAATTATTTCAAAATAAAAAGTAAAACAAGGACAACAACATTACCAAGTAACACTGTCAAAAAATAGATTCAATAGGGTTTGAGAGAGTCTTGGCATCCGTATGTTTAAAACAATTTCCTAGGTATTTTTGATGTATGTGAGATCCATTGGCCTAGGGCACTGTAAATGAACAATCAAATAGCAATGCATAGCTTTCTTCCATCCATAAGTGAAAATAATATAAAATAACAACAACTGCTGTGACACTGCTTCCATAAAAGGATGTGTGTTTTATAACTTGTAAGAGTTGCTTACTCTCTATTCAATTCACTTAACATTTACTTAATGCCTCTAGTATGTTAGAATAAGTTAGAATTAAATTATCCTTTATCTACTGTTGTCTGCTAAACACATTTTCAGAACATATATAATTAGCTACTCTAACTGGCATTCCAAAGGCATCTTACCTCTGCAAATGTCTGAAGGAGTTTGTTTACTTGAGCAAAGGTCTGTGGAAGAATACCATCATAATTTGACCTTGTACTGAAAGCATGTAACAAACTTCTAGAATCCTGAAGCAAGAATTTGACTGTTGTAAAATCCACTGCCTTATTAGCTGGTAATAGAAAATTAAGACAGAAAAATATGGAAGAATGAGTATACATCATAAAAATGTCTTTGGAACACTAATATTAATTTTGAAATTTAAGAAGAGTATACATTTACACCTATATGCCACTCCTAAGTTATCCCTCTGGTACAAAAAGCAATAATTAAATAGATTTAGATACAGATAAAGTCCTTTGAGTTGATTCTGGTATTCTGAACTCAGATTTCAGCAGTTCTCTCAGCGCAGTCAACTTCAAAGTAAAAGTAAAGTTAAAGAATATTACACTTCCCAGAAAAAAAGAGAAAATCACCCAAGAAACAAGTCAAACCACAGATTTCAATGCTGAGGTGATTTCACGTAAGAGTACTATGGAGAGATCAGAAGAGTCAGACTGTACTGGTAAGCATGTCAGCTACATAGGGTACCTCTCAACATCACCTCAGCTATCTACATAGTGATTTATCTTCAACTCCATTACATGAAACTTAATACTATGTTTACTAAAAACAATGAGTTATCTCTATATGTACAACACAACTTCAGGAGAGAAAAAAAGTTTGGGCAACAGTGAGAAGCAGAAGAAGCCTGCAGAATTTTTTCTTCTGTAAATTAAAAGTGAGAAAATCTACAAACAATAATTTAAAGGTATAACAATTTTATCTCAAGGAACTAAAACTAATTACATTAAATTCTCAAACTAGTTGGGAAAACTGGTGACAATAATTTCAAAAATTCCAAAAGTTATAAACAATAAAATTAAGTAATAATGTCATAAAACTCAGAACAGAAAAAAATATTTCCATTATTAAAGCAGAATGCTACCTAACGGTTTTCAAAATAACCATGCTACACTGTTGTTTACTTTTTGTTTTTATGTTCACAGTTTCAGAGACTCTATTGTATTCTGAAACATCAGCATGGCTTTTCATCGGCACTATGAGTTTAAAAAACAATAAGGAGTTCTTCTGTATCTCTTACACAAGAACTTGCTTGTGAAATCCTGAAGGGTCAAGTGAAATAAAAACTGTATCTTAATATTAATTCCACAATATTAAGAAACTCTAATCTAATGGTTATAGCCAAGCCTCTGGCTTCTCCTTTATCCAAAAATATAAAAAATAATAATAAAGCAAGTCAATGTATTTCCTTACAGGAAAACTTTCACTTCTTTTTAAAGCCAATGACTGGTTTAAATTCCTGTGGGTAATAAGAGATGCTACACACAGGACAGACTGTAGATTTGATTAACTTAGCAAATCCCCTGAGGAAGATATAATTGGACACAACTTCTTTTAAGGGTGCTTTTCCAATGTAAGGTATGTTTAATGATGCTTACATATATGAATTAATCATTTTATTTCTGTCTTACTAAAGTTCCTAAGATTATGAGGAAAAGAGTAATAACAATAATAAATCCAGTATACAGACACAACAAAAAAGGAAATCTACATTAATGAAATAGTCTAATGCTTATATAAGGTCAATAATTATTTAAAGCTAATATGAGTAACAAAGTCATAAAAGTTACTACTCATTTTCCACACAATTTTCTATGAACTAATCTAAGGATACATGCTTGGTATTCTGAAGTTATAATTCAAAAGCTGAAGGTATTATTAAAAGATAGTAAACAAGAACATAAATTGTGATTTTTCTAATTCAAAATTATCTTAGAGCAAGAGGCACTTTTTTTTTTTTTTTTTTTGAGACAGAGTTTCACTCGTTGCCCAGGGTGGAGTGCAATGGCGTGATCTCGGCTCACTGCAACCTCCACCTTCCGGGTTCAAGTGATTCTCCTCCTTCAGCCTCCTGAATACCTGGGATTATAGGCACCCACCACCACACCCAGCTAATTTTTTTGTATTTTTAGTAAAGATAGGGTTTTACCATGTTGGCCAGGCTGGCAATGAACTCCTGGCAAGAGGTACTTTTATAATCCCATGACATATTCTTAGCTCATTAAACGTTAGGCATCAGATTCTTTGAGATCAAAGACCAATAAACTATGCACATAATGATTGCAAAACAGATTTTTCAGCAGAAGATACAGTAATCACATCTTCACTTCTCTCCTTATTGTCAGTTAGAGCTGCCACCTACCACCTCTCAGCTGCATCTAAGAGCAGATCCCCCTGCCAGGAAAAACAGATGGAAGATGGTAACTAGATGCCTCATTTTTTACACTAAACTAACTTTGAGATTACACATAGTTTACAGACTTTCTCTTTTAAAAGATCAACTAAATTATGACCCCGGTAAAAGACATGAAAAAAGGTTCCACATGCTTTATAAAACTGCTTTGGAGAGATGTCCAATATGTGGTTCCATGTCCTTCATATACTCATATCACTAATAAACAACTTCTACAACTAAAGGCAATGACGGGAAAGTGTCGTTCCTTAAAAAATTGGTAACTTATTAAAAATAGATATTCAGATGGTTGTAGATGTGTGGTGTTATTTCTGAGGCCTCTGTTCAGTTCCATTGGTTTATATATACTTGTTTTAGTACCAGTACCATGCTGTTTTTGTTACTGTAGCATTGTAGTATAGTTTGAAGTCAGGTAGTCTATGCTTCCAGTTCTGTTCTTCTTGCTTAGGATCGTCTTGGCTATGTGGGCTCTTTTTTGGTTCCATATGAAATTTAAAGTAGTTTTTTCCAATTCTGTGAAGAAAATCAGTGGTAGCTTGATGGGGATAGCACTGAATCTATAAATTACTTTGGGCAGTATGATTATTTTCACAATATTGATTCTTCCCATCCATGAGCGTGGAATGTTTTTCCATTTGTTTGTGTCCTCTCTTACTTCCTTGAGCAGTGGTTTGTAGTTCTTGAAGAGTTCTTTCACATCCCTTGTAAGTTGTATTCCTGGGTATTTTATTGTCTGTGTAGCAATTGTGAATGGGAGTTCACTCATGATTTGGCTCTCTGTCTGTTCTTGGTTTATTGGAATGCTTGTGATTTCTGCACATTGATTTTGTATCCTGAGACTTTGCTGAAGTTGCTATCAGCTTAAGGAGATTTTGGGATGAGATGATGCGGTTTTCTAAATATCGATCACGTCATCTGCAAACAGAGACAATTTGACTTCCCCTTTTCCTAACTTAATACCCTTTATTTATTTCTCTTGTCTGACTGCCCTGGCCAGAACTTCCAATACTATGTTCAATAGGAGTGTGAGAGGGCATCCTTGTCCTGTGCTGGTTTTCAAAGGGAATGCTTCCATCTTTTGCCCAGTGTGATACTGGCTTTGGGTTTGTCATACACAGGTTAAGAGCTATTTACTTATTTTGAGATATGTTACATCAACACCTAGTTTCTTGAGAGTTTTTGGCTTGAAGGGCTGTCGAATTTTGTCCAAGTAAATGGTGTTAGGAAAACTGGCTAGCCATATGCAGAAAACTGAAACTGGATCCCTTCCTTACACCTTCTACAAAAATTAACTCGAGATGAATTAAAGACTTAAACGTAACACCTAAAACCATAAAAACCCAAGAAGAAAACCTAGGCAATACCGTTCAGGACAGGCATGGGCAAAGACTTCATGACTAAAACACCAAAAGCAATGGCAGCGAAAGCCAAAATTGACAAATGGGATCTAATTAAACTAAAGTGCTTCTGCACAGCAAAAGAAACTATCATCGGAGTGAACAGGCAACCTACAGAATGGGAGAAAATTTTTGCAATCTATCCATCTGACAAATGACTAATATCCAGAATATACAAAGAACTTAAATAGATTTACAAGAAAAAACAACCCCATCAAAAAGTGCGCAAGGGATATGAACAGACACTTTTCAAAAGAAGACATTTATGCAGCCAACAAACACTCGAAAGAAAGCTCATCATTACTGGTCATTAGAGAAATGCAAATCAAAAGCACAATGAGATACCATCTCATGCCAGTTAGAATGGCAATTATTAAAAAGTCAAGAAACAACAGATGCTGGCGAGGATGTGGAGAAACAGGAACACTTTTACACTGTTGGTGGGAGTGTTCATTAGTTCAACCATTGTGGAAGACAGTGTGGTGATTCCTCAAGGATCTAGAACTAGAAATACCATTTGACTCAGCAATCCCATTGTTGAGTATATACCCAAAGGATTATAAATCATTGTACTATAAAGACACATGCACACGTATGTTTACTGCGGCACTGTTCACAATAGCAAACAGTTGGAACCAACCCAAATGTCCATCAATGATAGACTGGATAAAGAAAATGTGGCACATATACACCATGGAATACTATGCAGCCATAAAAAAGGATGAATTCATCTCCTTTACAGGTACATGGACGAAGGTAGAAACCATCATTCTCAGCAAACTAACACAAGAACAGAAAACGAAACACCACATGTTCTCACTCATAAGTGGGAGCTGAACAATGAGAACACATGGACATGGAGGGGAACATCACACACCACGGCCTGTCGGGGGGTGGGGGGCTAGGGGAGGGATAGCATTAGGAGAAATACCTAATGTAGATGATGGGTTGATGGGTGCAGCAAATTACCATGGCACATGTATACCTACGTAACAAACCTGCATGTTCTGCACATGTACCCCAGAGCTTAACATCTAATAATAAATAAATAAAAAATTGGAGCCAGGATAGCATGAAGGAGGGGAGCTCATGCTTGCATTTCTGAGATAACAACTGTCTCAAGGATTTTCTTAAAAAATCCCAGAAGAAATTCCTCCACAACCTTCATGTATCTCATGCTTTTCACGATCCATGTCTTGCATGTATGCACGTATTTCTAAACCGGGTTTATCACTAGACATTCTTTAGGACTACAGCAGTTCAGATAAGACTCTCTCGAAAAAACATTTGCCCAGTAACAGTGTCTACACCAATGAACTAACGCCAGCTCTGGCTTTGAGCCTCAGGAACCAATAAACTCTGTTTTTAAGCAGCTTGTATGAACTTCTTTTTGCCAATAAAAGCTTTCCCTTACTCTCTCCTCTTGAGGTGCACCTGTGGCTTGCCATAGCTATGCATCCTAGATTATAATCCTTTTTCCTTACTCCTGAGTAAATTCATCACGTTAGAAGATCAAAAAAAAAAAAAAAAAAGATATTCATCGAACATTTACCATAGATGAGACATAAGGAAATGACTAGGTCCTTTAAATCCCCTAGGGGAAATATTTATTTATTGACTTATTTTATTCATGGTTGACACATAATAATTGTACATATTTATGGAGTATGATGTGATGTTTTGACACATGTATACATTGTGTAACAATTAAATGAGCATAATTAGCATATCTATGACCTTAAGCATTTATCATTTCTTTGGGATAAGAACATTCTCTTACACCTATTTTGAAATATACAATAAGAAACTGTTAATTCTAGTCATCCTACAATGCAGCAGAATACCAGAACTTATTCCTCCTATCTAACTGTAGCTTTTTATATTGCTCAATCTCTTACCATCCCCTACCACTGCACCTTCCCCATCTTCTGGTAATCACTATTCTTCTACTCTTTACTCCTCTGAGAACAACTCATTTTCAAAGAGTTTACACTTCAAGGAAAAGACAGAGAATAAGGTACACCTATCGTAGAATATGCATTTTTTTTCCTTTTTGTCCTAGCTTCTATGACGATTTTAAGGTTAAAATCTGGGCTCAAGTGCTGCAATAATTATTTGCATATGATTCATAATTAATCATCTCCTAGTCTTCATTATCTGGCCTTGGTGTCTTTAATAATTTAATTACTTAATAGCCCTCTTGTACTCAGGTACAAGGGTACTAAGGCATCACAGTTATGTTTCAGAAGTAGGCTGGATATAACTAATATATGAAATAATAAACACATTACTTCATGTGAGGACTTTGAAAAAAACAAAGTACCAACTGAACCCTTAATAATAATCACACTTTGCTTTTTTATATTATGTATGTTTTTTGAGACAGGGTCTCGTTCTGTTGCCCAGGCTGGAATGCAGTGGCACCATCTTGGCTCACTGCAACCTCCACCTCTCAAGCTCAGATGATCCTCCCACCTCAGCCTCCCAAGTAGCTGGGTCTACAGGCATGCACCACCACACCTGACTAATTTTTGTATTTTTGGTAGAAAGGGAGTTTTGCCATGTTGCCCAGGCTGGCCTTGAACTCCTGGGGTCAAGCAATTCACCCACCTTGGCCTCCCAAAGTGCTGAGATTACAGGCATGAGCCACCATGCCCAGCCTTTGCCTTTTAAAGGCATAATAAGACAAATCTAGTTATTTGATTTTGAAACAAGTCACCTACTGTTTCAAGACTAGTTTCCTTGATCATAAAATATAGGCTTTAATAACATTAGATTAGTTTTTCTCACATTTTTTTCCTCACAGCAGATAAACTTTTCTCCAAGTCCTATATAGAACCTCTATATATAAAGAAATTTTTAAAAGCTGCTCTGGCTAAAGTTGGGGTTAAGGGCCAAAGGCACCACCTACCGGGCTCCCCTTCAATCTATCCATCACCCATCTGTGGCAGCAGAGGCACTTCAAGAAGTCAAAAGTTCTGTTCAATATAGTTTAAAAACCAACTAAGTTGTTCACTGTGGTCTCTTCCCGTTCTAAAATTCACTATACACCAAAGCCAAAGGTTTCTTGTTCCTTATTCATATAGTTTAAATAGAAACCTTGACACACTATTTTGAAAATTAGTGCATGAAATGTGCTCAAAGTTTGTGTTAAACACTATGAGAAATGAAAAAAGTCTAATCAATTCTATTGGTGTATCTGAATAGACTGTAAAACATAGTTTTAAAAGTTTTCAAAGTAAACATCATCAAAAATTATATATTCACAATATCTTGAAATATCAACAACAATACCATTTACAGTCACAAGCTCTATGAGCTGCATCTGTTCATCCAGTTTCCACAAATACCTTTAGAAATTAGAAGTATAACTGATTAGGAACTAATTAACAAATTCTTCATTAATTTATCTTCACATTCCATGGAATATATCTGCTAGTCTGACTTAATACCACACTGCTAAAGAGAAAAATAAAAGATTCATACCTTTACAGAGATTTTTATATAGGCTCTCAATAGTTAAAAGCAAGTTCTTTTCCATAACTAATCCAAATACAGCCAACCAGTGTTTTTTAAAGCACTGTAGTAAATGTAGTAGAGTCCATGGAGGTTTCAGGTACAGGATCTAAAGAGCGTGTAGAAAAAAATTAACAACTCTAGATTTATTATTCCTATTATTAAAAAGTACCTATTTAGGAATTCCTACATATATTTCTAAGCAAAATATAGTTAGTTGGATTCTTTTTAAATTAAAAGATGTAAAGTCAATCATAACAAAATTAAAATGCTAATTCCACTGCAAATTGCTTTTGTAAAATTCATATTAGTATTAATCTTTACTGTTTCAGAAACTGTGTGTGCAAAAAAGAAAACATAGTTCTAATCAGAGGAAACATAGTTTTATCAGCAAAGGTCCTTCAATCTACTTGTCAACACAGTCATCTCTATAAGAAAATTAATCTAATTATTTCATATAACTGGGGGATAATCCATATAGAAAAAAGATGTCCAGTGGCTCATGCCTGTAATCCTAGCACTTTGGGAGGCCGACATGGGCAGACCACAAGTTCAGGAGTTCGAGACCAGCCTGGCCAACATGGTGAAACCCCATATCTACTAAAAATACAAAAATTAGCTGAGCGTGGTGGCAGACACCTGTATTCCCAGCTACTTGGGAGAATGAGGCAGGAGATCGCTTGAAATCGGAAGGAGGAGGCTGCAGTGAGCCGAGATCACGCGACTGCACTCCAGCCAAATTCCATCTCAAAAAAAAAAAAAAGGAAAAGAAAAAAAATGTCAATTATAATTGTCAGTTGCTACACTCTTGCGAAGACATGCCTATTAAAAACATTGATCATTTAATTCTGTAAGATGTCAACACTTTCTTTTCTGAATCATTCACATATATACAATTACTTGCCTTATCTCTACTATGAGATATCAACACTCCTAGTATCTTCTGATAATTTGTCATCATTTTGGTTCAACTTTGATAATATAATCAAGTAGCAAATACACCGTTCTGGCAAATACTAGAATCTCACTGAATAGCTGGAATAGATACAAACTATGATTGATGGGAAATCATGTTTCTTCTGTCTATAAATGCTCACGTCTATAATCCCAGCGCTTTAGGAGGCTGAGACAGAAGGATCACTTGAGGACAGCAGTTCAAGACCAGCCTGACCAACATGGTGAAACCTCCTCTCTACTAAAAATACAAATATTAGCTGGGTGTGGTGTCACATGCCTGTAATCCCAGCTGCTTGTGGGGATGAGGCAGGAGAATCACTTTAATCTGGGAGGCAGAGGTTGCAGTGAGCCAAGATCATGCCATTGTACTCAAGCCTGGGCAATAAGAGCGAGACACCATCTCAAAACAAAACAAAACAAACATTGAACTTCTGAAATCTTTATTGTTAAATTTAGAGTTTTACTGATTGTTGAAAAGGTGTGAATCCAAAGAAAATTCAGAATATCTTGCTAATACAATCAACTTATACTCTGATGCTTACATTTACATGGCACAAGCAAAAATACATACTTCTTTTTCTGAATACATATTGCTAGGGAGATTCCTTATATTAGACATTTTGACTCAAATTAAATAGATAAGGTTTTTTTTTAATTCAATTTAAGCACCATGGGACAGTGCATCTGACACACAGCAGCTGGAAAATAAATACCTGTTGACTCAAAAAAAAGAATAACACATATTCTTAACATTTAAGAAATGTCCATCATTTACCTGTCAAAAAACTATTTCAAAAACTTGAAGAAAAATGTAACATGATACAGATTATTCAGTGAAGCTTATGCATTTTATACAAGTAATATTTCTTAAAATAACAAATCTTCAGCAATAAAAAAGAAATTTTCAACTAATAGAGTTCAACTAATCACCTCCATCCAAAGGTTTCCAAAAGCAATTTTCATTTCTGTTTCTAATATTGAAGATAAACCTGTTCCAAGAGATTTTTCAAGATCAGATACAATGCTCTCAAGTAGAATGGCCAGTCCAGAATTTATAGATTCTTCCTCATAGCTCTCTTTCAAGGGTGTTGTTTCTTTAAAACAAATAGTTACAGACTTTATTTAGAATGCTAACAGTAAATATTATACATATAATTGGTATATTGCCATAAACAGTAAACATTTTATGTATATGATATTTGAATTATATATAAAACAAACCAATACTTTATTTTCAAAACAATATTTAGAAACATGTATTTCTACTATAGTTGCTTTAGATGCAACATAAATATATTACTTTAACAAATGTTTTATCTTTTTAACAGGCAAAATAAAATAATATTTTTACTCAAATAAAAATGTAAGAAATTTATGTGATATTTTAACTACAATTTAATTTTATTATTTTCCAAAAAGAGTTACAAGAATGCCTTAGATTTATTCACAACAAAAAACCAAGAACTATGGATCAAAATGGGTTTTTTTCCAAAAACTGAATATTTTTCTTTTTTTTTTCTTTTGAGACAGTCTCACTCTGTCGCCCAGGCTGGAATGCAGTGGCACAATCTCGGCTCACTGAAACCTCTGTCTCCCGGGTTCAAGCGATTCTCTTGCCTCAGCATCCCGAGTAGCTGGCAAAAAATGGAATATTTTTCTAAACTCAGCCTACATCAATAAATTTCCAGCTTAACTATCTTCATGCCCTCCTCTTTTAAAAAGAGCTTTTATTATTTTACGTGATATCATTTCCATAACATTACTTTTTAGATACTTGAAAACAACTGTAATTTTCTTATGGCAAAATTAAAAATATTAAGTGGCTTATCTCTACAAAGTAGACAAGCTAAAGGCACACTACCCTTGAAAAACTGTAAACTAGAATATCCTGTTATTCCTTCAAAGGCCATTTTGAATATTATGACAAAAACATTATCTCCAAAAAGGGTAAATAAGTAGTATATATGTATATATGACTATTTACACAATTATACGTAAAATGCACATATATTAGAGACTTCAATAATCATTTTCCCCAAAGAGGGAAAAGGTGGGATGTACCTATAAATAATGTCAGATTTAATATAATATTTCTTCAAATATCAAGCTACGGAACAGATTATTCTGGTGAAAAAAAAAAGAAATAATAGTATTGCCCTTACTTCTTTTTTTTTTTTCTGAGACAGAGTTTTGCTCTTGTTGCCCAGGCTGAAGTACAATGGCACGATCTCGGCTCACTGCAACCTCCACCTCCCGGGTTCAAGTGATTCTCCTGCCTCAGCCTCCCGAATAGCTGGGATTGCAGGCGCCTGCCACCACACCCAGCAAATCTTTCTGTCTTTTTAGTACAGACAGGGTTTCCCTATGTTGGCCAGGCTGCCCTCGAAATCCTCAGGTGGCCCACCCGCCTCGGCCTCCCAAAGTGCTGGGATTACAGGCGTGAGCCAGCGCACCCAGCCTGTTACTTCTTAATTATTGGCCTAAAATTTTAAAAAAGAAAACTATTACCAGATTCCAACAAGTTTCTCTATTGCTAGCTGAGTTTTTACCATATTAATAGAAGGCTATAAATAGAAAGCCAACTTAAAAAAGAAACTAAAAAATTATCTCTATGTCAACTAAGTATCTCCTATAACTGCTATTAATTTAAAAGGAACACTCTGTTTCACTCGAAGAAAATCAAGGTGAAAAATAAAGGTATACTCTGCAAGGTACAAATTAGCATGTACACAGTGATTATAATGTAAAAATGTATGTGAGCATGCAGACAAAAACATGAAATTAATTTGTAAAAGTACATACAGAAGGTAATAATGTTAATTATGTTTTCTTTTGGATTACTATCATAACTTTCATTTATTCAATGATTTACATGCCAGCAAGTATTCCAAAAGATGTTATTTTAAATGTACAAAATAAAAATTTACTACCGATTCTAATGTTATAAATAATCTTAGTGTATAAAATAAGATATATCTCTAATTATTTACAGTAAAAATACTACCTGCTTTCAACTGTTGCTTAGGAATACAAGGCTGATGACACACATCTGTGTTCAGAGATAAGTGTAACAACTCTGCACTCAATTCTTCTTTACTGAGTGACTTCACACCACTTATTAGGCCTTTGTTTCTTAAGTTTCTATCATCCCTAAGGTTGGGAGGTTGGGATTAGGAGGAAAAAATATTTTTTTATAAGGTAAACCACATGGCAAATCAAAACACATGAGATCTAGTCAGAGGCAGGTGATTCTCAGCCAATACATTAAGAAAGAATAACAACTTTTTTAAAAAAAATATGAGCTTTGGGTACTAGGCACCATTCTAAAGTGCTATATACATATAAAGCTATTTAATCCTCACAACAAACTTCTGAGGTAGAAGTAGTATTAACTTCACTCCCATTCCACAGATGGGGAATTGAGGTATAAAGAGGTTAAATAACTTGTCCGAAGTTATACCCAGTAAGTGGGAGCTGGATTTGAATACAGGAATGTGACTATCCAAAGAGAAACAGAGAGCTATGTATGAGAAATAATTTACAGTGGGCAGACAAGTACAAATTTACTCAGATGAAGCATAAGACAAATAGCACGAACTTGCTGTTTGCTGAAAGAAATCAATATGATTAGAACATAGTGCATGAGACCAGTTTATGAGGTTACAGAAGAAGACAAGGGCATTAAAAAACAGGAAATTTAAGGGCTTCAGTGGGGAAATGACATGATCTTACCTGTGTTTACTAAATTGTTTCAGAGGCCAGTAGGCTTCCAGCTTCTGTTAATGGCAGAGTAGTTTGGCCACACTAACCCTACTATGAATGAGAATTATAAAATCTAAACCAAAAAGAAAATTAACTATTTGAAGGAACTAGAGAGCAACGAATGTAGGCAGAAGCTGGAGTGGGATCTACCCTGAAGACACAGAAAATGCATAGTGAGAACTACAAGTCTCTTTTTACCTCAGGGCACTTCCCAATTCATCAAGTGTGACAAGTAGTAGTGACTGGAAATGTCAAAGAACCATGTTCGAGGTTGACCAGGGCAGCTGGAAAGTTAAGGGAGAGAGTGCTCTGGATTGGTGGTTGGTAAAACAGCCGAATAGGAACAGCTCCGGTATGCAGCTCCCAGCAAGATCAACGCAGAAGGCAGGTGATTTCTGCATTTCCAACTGAGGTACCCAACTCATCTCATTGGGACTGGGTAGACAAAGGGTGCAGCCCTCGGAGGGCAAGCTGAAGCAGGGTGGGGCGTCCACTCACCCAGGAAGTGCAAGAGGTCAGGGAACTCCCTCCCCTAGCCAAGGGAAGCTGTGAGGGATGTGCCCTGAGGAACAGTGCACTCCGGCCCAGATACTACACTTTTCCCATGGTCTTCGCAACCCTCAGACCAGGAGATTCCCTTGGGTGCCTACATCACTAGGGCCCTGGGTTTCAAGCACAAAACTGGGCGGCCATTTAGGCAGACACTGAGCTAGCTGCAGGAGGTTTTTTTCATACCCCAGTGGCTCCTGGAACACCAGCAAGACAGAACCATTCACTTCCCTGGAATGGGGGCTGAAGCCAGGGAGCCAAGTGGTCCAGCTCAGCGGATCCCAGCCTCACAAAGCCTAGCAAGCTAAGATCCACTGGCTTGAAATTCTCACTGCCAGAACAGCAGTCTGAAGTCAACCCAGGACGCTCGAGCTTGGTGGGGTAGGGATATCTGTCATTACTGAGGCTTGAGTAGGTGGTTTTACCCTAACAGTGTAAACAAAGCACCCAGGAAGTTTAGACTCGGCAGAGCCCACCACAGCACCCCAAAGCTGCTGTAGCCAGATTGACTCTCTAGATTCCTCCTCTCTGGGCAGGGCATCTCTGAAAGAAAGGCAGCAGCCCCAATCAGGAGCTTGTAGATAAAACTCCCATCTGCCTGGGACAGAGAACCTGGGGGAAGCAGCGGCTGTGGACACAGCTTCAGCAGACTTAAGCGTTCCTGCCTGCCGGTTCTGAAGAGAGCAGTGGATCTCCCAGCACAGTGCTTGAGCTCAGCTAAGAGACAGAAGAGACAGACTGCCTCCTCAAGTGGGTCCTTGACCCTTGTTCCCCCTAAGAGACACCTCGAACAGGTGTCAACAGATCTCTCATACAGGAGAGCTCCGGCTGGCATCTGGCAGGTGCCCCTCTGGGATGAAGGTTCCAGAGGAAAGAACAGGCAGCAATCTTTGCTGCTCTGCAGCCTCTGCTGGTGATACCCAGGCAAACAAGGTCTGGAATGGACCTCCAGCAAACTCCAGCAGACCTGCAGCAGAGGGGCCTGACTGCTAGAAGGAAAACCAACAAACAGAAATGAATAGCATCAACATCAACAAAAAGGGCATCCACACAGAAATCCTATCTGAAGGTCACCAACATCAAAGAACAAATGTAGATAAATCCATGAAGATGAGGAAAAAACAGCCCAAAAAGGCTGAAAATTCCAAAACCAGAACACCTTTTCTCCTCCAAAGGATCACAACTCCTCACTAGCAAGGGAACAAAACTGGACACAGAATGAATTGACGAACTGACAGAAGTAGGCTTCAGAAGGTGGGTAATAACAAACTCCTCCGAGCTAAAGAAGCATGTTCTAACTCAATGCAAGGAAGCTAAGAACCTTGAAAAAAAAAAAGGTTAGATGAATTGCTAACTAGAATAACCAGTTTAGAGAAAAAGATAAATGACCTAATGGAGCTGAAAAACACAGCACGAGAACTTCGTAAAGCATACACAAGTATCAACAGCCAAATCGATCAAGCAGAAGAAAGGATATCATAGACTGAAGATCGACTTAATGAAATAAAGCCTGAAGACAAGATTAGAGAAAAAAGAATGAAAAGGAATGAACAAAGCCTCCAAGAAATATGGAACTATGTGAAAAGATCAAACCTACATTTGATTGGTTTATCTGAAAGTGGCAGGGAGAATGGAACCAAGTTGGAAAACACACTTCAGGATATTATCCAGGAGAACATCCCCAACCTAGCAAGAAAGGTCAACATTCAAATTCAGAAAATACAGAGAACATCACAAAGATACTCCTCAAGAAGAGTAACCCCAAGACACATAATCATCACATTCACCAAGATTGAAATGAAGGAAAAAAATGTTAAGGGCAGCCAGAGAGAAAGGTCGGGTTACCCACAAAGGGAAGTCCATCAAACTAACAGCAGATCTCTCGGCAGAAACCCTACAAGCCAGAAGAGAGTGAGGGGCCAATATTTAACAATCTTAAAGAAAAGAATTTTCAACCCAGACTTTCATATCCAGCCAAACTAAGCTTCATAAGGGAAGGAGAAATAAAATCCTTTACAGACAAGCAAATGCTGTGAGATTCTGTCAAAACTACAATGAGATACCATCTCATGCCAGTTAGAATGGCGATCACTAATAAGTCAAGAAACAACAGATGCTGGAGAGAACGTGGAGAAATAGGAACACTTTTACACTGTCAGTGGGAATGTAAATTAGTTCACCACTGTGGAAGACAGTGTGGCGATTCCTCACAGATCTAGAACCAGAAATACCATTTTTAACCCAGCAATCCCATTACTGGGTATATACCCAAAGTATTATAAGTCATGCTGCTATAAAGATACATGCACATGTATGTTTACTGCAGCACTATCCACAATAGCAAAGACTTGGAACCAACTCAAACATCCATCAATGATAGACTGGATAAGGAAAATGTGGCACATATATACCATCGAAAACTATCCAGCCATAAAAAAGGATGAGTTCATGTCCTTTGCAAGGACATGGATGACACCGGAAGCCACCATCCTCAGCAAACTAACACAGGAACAGAAAACCACACACTGCATGTCCTCACTCATAAGTGGGAGTTGAACAATGAGAACATAGGAACACAGGGAGGGGAACACCACACACCAGGGCCTGTTGGTGGGTGAGGGATAGGGGACGAATAGCATTAGGAGAAATACCTAACGCAGATGACAGGTTGATGGGTGCAGCAAATCACCATGGCACGTGTATACCTATGTAACAAACCTGCACGTTCTGCATATGTATCCCAGAACTTAAAGTCTAATAATAATAATAATAAAGTTAAGGAGAAACTGAAGAAAAGAAACCACAGAGCAAGTGAGCTCCAAAATCTACATATAAAGTATGCCCAGAGAAAAACAACGTACTTCCAAGAGTCAAAGTAATCAACAGAACTAGACTTGGATACAACACAGATACTGAAGCTACCTGACAGCAAATTTAAACTAATTTTCATTAATATGTTAAAGCCTCTAATGGAAAAGGTGGAAGAAGGGAAAATCAAGCAGTTTTGCAGAGATGAAAACCACAAGAATAAAATAGAAATCCTAGCAATAAAAAACACATAACAAAAATGAGGAATGCCTTGAACAGGCTTGTCAACAGACCTGACAAAGGGAAGGAAAGAATCAACAAACCCGAAGGGAAGTCAAAAGAAATTACCCAAACTTAAACAAAAAGATAATAAAAAGATTTTGAAAAAAAAAAAGTATCCAAGAGCTATGGGACAATATATCAACAGTAATATCCTTATACTACCTGTGAAGCAGTGTAATATTTGAAGGTAGGCTTTGATAAGTAAAGATGTATATTGTAAACGCTAAAACAACCATAAGAAGTTTTTTCAAAAAAGTATAAATACGTAAATAATGGAGACAAAATGGTATCATTAAAAATGAACAATTAGTCGAAAAGAGAAAAAGGAAAAAAAGCACAGATGGAACAAAACAAATGGAAAATAATATGCAAAATGGTAAGATTTTAATCCAACAAATTAAATATGTATGGTCTAAACTTAACAGTTAAAAGACAGAAATTGTCAGACTGTTCAAAAAAGAACCAACTACATGATGTCTACAAGAAACTTACTTTAAATATACAGGCATAGATGGGCTAAAAGTAAAATGATACAAAAAGATATATCACATAAATACTAAGCAAAAGAAAGTTAGAATAGTTGCATTAATACTAGACAAAGAAGGCTTTAGAACTAGGAATAATGTCAGAACCAAAAAGGACATTATATAAATATAAAAGAAGCACTTCTCCAAGAAGACAAGCATGAACAATCTTAGATGTATATGCATCTCACTACAAGTTTCTATCTTTTTGCCTGAGGGAATTCTCTAATTCATCAATGGCTTTACTACAACAGAAAGCCATAGCTTTAGTGGCCTTCACAATACATGAAGCAAAACAAATAGAACTGAAAGGAGAAATAGACAAATCCACAATTATAGTTGGAGACTTCAATACTCCTTTCACAATGATCATAGAAAAAGTAGGCAACCAGGCTGGGCAAGGTGGCTAATGCCTGTAATCCCAGCACTTTGGGGAGGCTGAGGCGGGAGGATCACAAGGTCAGGAGATCAAGATCATCCTGGCCAACATGGTGAAACTCTGTCTCTACCAAAAATACAAAAATTAGCCAGGAGTGGCAGCATGCAGCTGTAGTCCCAGCTACTCAGGAGGCTGAGGCAGGAGAACTGCTTGAACCCGGGAGGCAGAGGGTGCAGTAAGCCAAGATTGCACCACCGTACTCCAGCCTGGGCGACAGAGTGAGACTCCATCTCAAAAAAAAAAGTAAAAAAGAAAAAAGAAAAGAAAAGAAAAAGTGGGCCACTAAGGTTACAGAAGACCTGAAGAACACTATCAACCAATTTGACCTAATTGAAATTTATAGAATACTCCACCCATAAGGGCAGGATACACATTCTGTTCAAATACACAGAAAATATTCACTAAAACAGACCACATTCTTGGCCAAAAAAACAAACTTTAACAAATTTAAAAGAACAGAAACCATGTAAATTATGTTCTCAATTCATAAAGAAATTAAACTACAATTCAGTAAAAAAAAAAAAAAGTATCTGAAAATTTTGCAAATATTTACAATTAGGCAACAAACGTCTAAATAACCTATGGGTCAGAGAAAGAGTCACAAGGGAAATTATAAAGTATATTGAATAGAATGAAAATGAAAACACAACATATTAAAATTTGTGAGATACAACTGCGGAAGTGCTTAGAGGACATTCACAGCAGTAACAAATAAGTGATATAAGTTTCCACCTTAAGAAACAAGAAAAAAAAGGGCAAGAGAGTACTTTCTGGGTCAAGTGTGGTGGCTCACACCTATAATTCCAGCACTTTGGGAGGCCAAGGGGACCGGATCATCTGAGGTCAGGAGTTTGAGACCAGCCTGACCAATATGGCGAAATCCCATCTCTATGAAAAATACAAAAATTAGTCATGCATGGCGGCACTCACCTGTAATCCCAGCTTCTTGGGAGGCTGAGACAGAAGAATCACTTGAACCCGAGAGGTGGAGACTGCAGTGAGCCAAGATGGCGCCACTGCACTCCATCGTGGGTGACAGAGTGAGACTCTGTCTCAAAAAAAAAAAACCACACAGGAGTTACAGACGTGTTCTATATATTGACAGGATGTGAGCTACACCGGTGCAACCATTTGTCAACACTGTATAGTTAAGATTTGTGCATTTCCTCAGCTACTTGGGGGGCTGAGGAAGGAGGATCGCTTGAGCCCAGGAGTTTGAGACCAGCCTGGGCAACATAGCAAGACCCTGTTTCTAAAACATAAAATTAAAGAAGACAACACAGAACTGGCTAATTCACTGTATATAGATCATAAAGAAAAGGCAGGCATCAAAATTTACTCCCGGGTTTCTGGCTTTAGCAAATGGGTGGGAGATGACCCTTTTTATTCAGGTGTAAAAGAGTTGAAAAGAAAACCTCAAGAGTTCATTTACGGAGATGACAGGTTTCAGATGTCCATGAAACATCCAAGAGATATCAAATAAATAGTTGAGTATATTAGCCTGGAGTTTAGAAGAGCAATATGAATTGGAGATATTAATTGTGTTGCTGGCCCAGACTTAGGATTGTAAATGCAAGCACTTAGAATGATGCATAGTATATAAGTGTTATAAAAGTTTTTCTGATTACTATCACTACCAATTGACATTATCATCATCCATTTTAAGTAATATAAATATGTCCTCACAATAGTAGGTATGACTTATACAACACACATGATTATCACTATTTAAAGAAAATGCAAACAAACCAAAAAAAGAGAGAGAGAAAAACAGGCTCACCACTTGGAACATGACTATGCCAGAATTAAAAGCAAGGTTTGACTATAAATTTTCAGTCACTAAAAAGTAATACATCTGTTAATCCCCAAAAAACAGTGAATGTACAAATAATGAAGAATCGATAAAATTTTGTCAATTTAATTTTCATTCTAAGTTGAACTAAAAAAAAAATTACACAACAAAGAATTACTTCTCAAATTTTTCTCAAATTCAAAATGATTTATATATTATTAATTCTATTTCAGCCTTCAACAAACTCCAAAGTAATATGTCCTAGATCAAAATATAATTTAAAATCTAAAGACAGAAATCTCTAATATTTCCTTTAATAGCAAAAGGAATCACATTATCTTTGAAGATAGCTAAAATAGTAACACTGACCAGAATGTTTGCAAGAAGCATCTTAGGGCTGCTGATTTCTAAATAGCTCCATTTCACAGAAAGAATTTGAGCATTATCATGAAACTGTCAAAACTCCATTTTGCAGTGAATAAAATACAGATTAAAACTGCAAATTTCAAAGCATGATGTAGACTGATTTAAAAAAAACAAAAAACTGCAAATTAAAATTGCTCTTCTGTCCCTTCAGAACCTTTTCTCATACATCATGAATAAAATTTTGTTTAGCATTATCTTAGTTCTATCCTTGAACTAAGTTATGGAAATATCAGTAGAGAGGGAAAAAGCAGGGGGAAGGGGGAAGGAGGGAGAAAACTCTTACTGAGATCCTACTATATATTAGGCACTATTCTACGTCCTTTACATATATTAACAGATTAAATACTTACAATAATCTCATGAGGCAGGTAATACTATTCTTCCTGTTTATTTCACATGACGAAACTAAGTTAGGCAACTTGTCCAGGGTCACAACGCTGATAAATGACAGATCCAGGACTCGAAGCCAGGCAGTCTAACTCTGTAACAGGCACCCAGCACACAACTCCAACATAAACTACCCTATCTCCACTTCAGCAATACGTAAGTAAATAAATTTCTTGTCTCATCCTGTCAGACATCCTGTCAGATTCTGATTTTTAAACTATTTTGGAGGGATATTAAGTGCCTTTTCCCCTGCTTTTTCCAAGTTTTCTGAATTGTATAAAAATTAAGTTGAAATGAAACTTCATCTAGTTGAGATCTCATTCCTCTAGAGCTCATACATTATAAGACTATCAGATACAAGTGGGTATGCTTACTGGCAGATTTGGAAAATTATGTATGTTTTTGATCTTTGGTATGCTGGATACAGTACGATTTTTTTTAATTATTTGGTTTATTTTTAAAAAATAAAAAGTAAAATGACTATGAAACTCACGTGCACAGAATAACAAAAGAACAAGGGAATAATTCCTGGTGCTGGAGACAGCATTTTAGTACTCGATCATCATTGTTCTCATCACTCAATCCATCTGCAAATTTAATAAAGGCAACGGTCAATAAGTACCCTAGAAATGTGGGTGCCACAGAAATAATCTAGGCTGTATTTACAAAACAAAAATATCTAAGAGATTTAAGGTAGTTAAGGTATGACACTATGATGGTGGACAAACGTCATTACACATTTGTCCAAATCCACAGAGTGTACAAAGCCAAGAGTGAACCTAATGTAAACTATGTACTCAGAGTGATAATGATGTCAGTGGAGGTTCATCAACTATAACAAAGGTACCACTCCAGCGAAGGATATTGATAATGGGGAAGCTATGCTTGTGTGGAGGCAGGAAGTATGTGGGAAATCTTGTTGTCTTTTGTGCAATTTTCCTGTGAAACTACAACTACTCTCAAAAACTCTATTAATAAATATAGCTCAGCTGGGCACGGTGGCTCACGCCTGTAATCCCAGCACTCTGGGACGCCGAGGGGGGCAGATCACTTGAGGTCAGGAGTTCGAGACCAGCCTGGCCAACATGGTAAAACCCCATCTCTACTAAAAATACAAAACTTGGCCAGGTGTTGTGACAGGTGCCTGTAATCCCAGCTACTTGGAATCTGAGGCAGAAGAATCAGTTGAACCCAGGAGGCAGAGGTTGCAGTGAGCTGAGATCGCGCCACTGGACTCCAAGCTGGACAACAGAGACGCCGTCTCAAAAAAAATTTAAAAAGTACATATGCATATATGTATATGTACTTTTTATATATACATATATGTGTATATATATACTTTTATATATACATATATAAGTTATATATACATATATACATATATAAGTATATGTTATATATACATATATAAGTATGCTATATATACATATATAATAAACATATATAAGAAATACATATTTCATATATTTATTTTATATATACATATAAAAGAAAACTTTTTAAATAAAAAGACAAGAAAGCAAAATAATTTTTTAAAAACTCTGAATCTATAATTTACATAGCATATAGTTGTGGATTTAATGTGGTTAGTTCGCTATTAAAATGGTCTAGAATATGCCTATTAGCAAACTCAAAGGAAAGAAATGTGATCAGAAGGCTAAATGTCAGACTAGAAACCAAAAACCATGAATTCTATTATTAATTCAGACACTTACAGATTATAAGTAACTTAACATTTTCTCAGCTTAAGAAGTCTGTGAACTAATAAGCAACTGTTCTACCAGTAACTAAACTAGTTTCCTGTGTGTGCTCTTCCTTAATCTCTAAAGTAACACAATTAGAGATATACAGGAGAACGAAATATGGGCCCTACGAAGGTAACACAAAAAGTAATTCCTAACAAATGTTAATCAGTTGCTGACAGGGTACCCTCTGGCATTCTCTAAGCCTCAAAACTTGTAGCAAAAATTCAGTTTTTGTAAAAATAATGCAGGCCAGGTGGTTGGTGCCTGTGATCCCAACATTTTGAGAGGCTGAAGCAGAGAGATCGCTTTAAGTCAGCATTTCAAGATCAGCCTGGGCAACATGGCAAGACTCTGCCTCTACAAAAAAACGAGAAAATTAGCCAGGCTCGGTGGCACACTTCTGTAGTCCTGTAGTTCCAGCTATTCAGGAGGCCGAGGAGGGAAGATCGCTTGAGCCCAGGAGTTCAAGTCTACAGTGAGCTATGATCATGTCACTGCACTCCAGCCTGGGTGACAGGGTGAGACTTTTTCTCTAAAAAAATTAAGAACAAAATAATAATAATAATGCAATGTGTAGAAATTGGACCAAAGATAATGTTTCCCACAAGTCCATACACTACCTACCTGAGAACTCCCTAGGGTACTTATTAATAATACAGAATACAGGACCACACCCCAAATATATTTCTGGGTAAGAATCTTTGAAGCCTGGACCCAGACACTAATTTAAGCTCTTGGCCTGTCTCTTATACATTAAAATTTAAGACATACCAGCCAATTAGTCTCAACCTTGTTTCCTGTTTATAATCATTTTTCTCTCAACTTCTGGCCTATATTACTTAGTCCTTGAATCCTTCAAATTAGAAAATTCATTCATTCATGCAACAAATATTTACATAGGGCTTAATTTGTGCCAGGTTCCCATGCTAACCAGATGGATATGCAAAGAAAAACTATTTAGGAGTTCATACTGGTGAAATCTAGACAGAGCTCAACTATATCAGGACATGAGTATGAGGAAGATATGATTAAATTTCTTGACCAGATGACCAGTGAGCCAGACAGAAATATATCACAGTAGCCAATTTCTCTTAAATTCAGAGGGTAAATGCCACGAATAGTGCAAAATGTGAAACTCAAAATCATTAGTTAACTTTAAACAATTCAATTCAGCAGATAAAAGGAGGCTTAAAAGTAACAGTGCACTGCTCTAAAGGTATCAAATTCAAGATTATCAGTAGTGCCACTTTTTCTAAGATATATGGAGCTGAAAAATAAACTGTAAGACTATTCATGAAATATTTAGTTATTCAACAAATACTTTTGAGCACCTTACAGGCGTGAGCCACCATGCCTGGCTTTTTTTTTTTTTTTTAGAGACAGAGTCTTGCTTTGTCACCAGGCTGGAGGGCAATGGTGTGATCTCAGCTCACTGCAACCTCCATCTCCTACCTCTACCTTCAAGTGCTTCTCGTGCCTCAGCCTCCTAGAGTAGCTGGGATTACAAGTGTGAGCCACTACGCCCAGCTGATTTTTGTATTTTTAGTAGAGATGGCGTTTGTCATGTTGGACAGGCTGGTCTTGAACTCCTGACCTCAGGTGATCCACGTGCCTCAGCCTCCCTCAGCTCACAGGCGTGAGTCACTGTGCCCGGCCAATAAAATTATATATTTTTTATAATAAGGTAAAAATAATTAAAGGCAACAAATAGTTATCTGCCACTCCCCTAATCAGGCATTTGTTCTGTATTTTTATATTTTTCATTGTATTTTTATTGAATGAAAAATGAAACAGTACAAACATGTACTGCTCAAAAGTGAACAAAATAAAGACTCTGGAAACAGACCAGTCTGGGTATGAATCCTTGTTTTCCCACTTACTAGATATGTATTCTTGGGCGAAGTTTCTAATCATGAGGAGTAAATGAGAACGTATATAAAGTATTTAGCCCAGTGTATGGCAATAGTGAATGCTTAAAAGTACCATGTATTTATTACTTAAGATTCAGCTTGGCCAGGCACGGTGGCTCATACCTGTAATCCCAGCACTTTGGGAAGCTGAGGCGGACAGATCACTTGAGGTCAGGAGATCGAGCCCAGCCTGACCAACATGGTGAAACCCCATCTCTAAAAAAATATTTTAAAAAGTTAGCCGGGCATGGTGGCACATGCCTGTAATCCCAGTTACTCAGGAGGCTGAGGCAGGAGAATCGCTCGCTTGAACCCAGGAGGCAGAGGTTGCAGTGAGCCGAGATTACGTCATTGTACTCCAGCCTGGGCAACAAGAGTGAAACTCCATCTCAAAAAAAAAAAAAAAATTTAAAAGATTCAGCTTAAATGGCACCTCAACATCAATGACCGCTACTCACACACAGAATAAAAAATTCTATATAAATTATAGTTATTAAGATGTTTAATAACTAATAGAATTTAACCTCCTCAACAGCAGGGTTTCCCTTTCTCATTCACTGTTACAGGCCCAACATTTGGAACAGTGTCTGGTACAAATACTTGGCAAACAAATGAATCAATAAAAATACAATGAAAAATATAAAAATACAGAACAAATGCCTGACTGATTAGGGGAGTGGCAGATAACTATTTGTTGCCTTTAATTATTTTTACCTTATTATAAAAAATATATAATTTTATTGGCCGGGCACAGTGACTCACGCCTGTGAGCCGAGGGAGGCTGAGGCACGTGGATCACCTGAGGTCAGGAGTTCAAGACCAGCCTGCCCAACATGACAAACGCCATCTCTACTAAAAATACAAAAATCAGCTGGGCGTAGTGGCTCACACTTGTAATCCCAGCTACTCTAGGAGGCTGAGGCACGAGAAGCACTTGAAGGTAGAGGTAGGAGATGGAGGTTGCAGTGAGCTGAGATCACACCATTGCCCTCCAGCCTGGTGACAAAGCAAGACTCCGTCTCTTAAAAAAAAAAAAAAAAAAAAAAGCCAGGCATGGTGGCTCACGCCTGTAATCTTAGCACTTTGGGAGGCCAAGGCGGGTGGATCACCTAAGGTCAGGAGTTAGAGACCAGCCTGGCCAACATAGTGAAACTCTGTCTCTACTGAAAATATAAAAATTGGCCAGGCATGGTGGCGCATGCCTGTAATCTCAGCTACTCGGGAGGCTGAGGAAGGAAAATCATTTGAACCCGCGAGGTGGAGGTTGCAGTGAGCTGAGATCATGCCACTGCACTCCAGCCTGTGCAATGGGAGCGAGACTCCATCTCAAAAAAAAAAAAAAAAAGTAATTAAAAATCTGGAAAATACAGAAAATATAAAGAAAATTAAAATAACTGATAAACCCATCAGGTAAATATCACCTCTATTCATCACTAATAAGTATATACACATAATTAAATAAATTTAGAATTATACTACACATATGTTTTAATCTTATGTTTGTTTTTATTTAAAATTATGTTATTAATGTTTTTCCAAATATAGTGTCCCCTCATATGGCTATAGGAATGTATGTAACTTCTCCAAATGTTATATAGGTTGATTCTACTTTTTTTGTTACATAAATAATGCTATAATGAACACTATTTATATAAATCACTGCCTGCATCTCTCACTTTTTTTAGGATACATTTCTAGAAAGACAATTATTATCCTTAGGCTTATTCAAGCACATTGTTAAATATTGCTCTTCTACAAAGTTACCAATTCATAGTCTCAAAGCAGTGCAGTGCTGTGAATCTTCCTAGTGGGTTGGAAGAGAGTAACTTTCTAAACCTAGAAGTGATAAAAATAAATCAGATATTTTTAAAAAGTGAGAGATGAGTCTTATCAATCTGTATGAGCCTTTCATATAATGAGGACACAAGAGAATTATCACCTATTCTGACCACAAGCTATTAGGTAGTTTAACATATTAACCAATCTTCACAACCATTTTATGACATGGAAGTTATTTCCTTTCATTTCATTTATTCAATTTCTTCACCTTTAACCTTCCCCAGGTTATGCTATAAACCCAGGTTGATATTTCAAATACTATGTTCCTCTCACTATAGTAGATAAATACTATATCAAATAAACATAATTTTGGAAATAGTTAAGGACAAGGCTAAAATTATAGTCAACTAAAGCTACTCGACATGGACCATCTTCACTCAAAATTCATAAGCATTATATCTGGAACATACTAAGAGCTAATAAATATTTGTTTAGATAATGAATGAATGGTAGAGACCCTTTTTCTTCAAAATTTTAAGACTAAACAAAAATTTCAGACTAAAGTAATTCATCTTAAGATGAATCTAATCATGGTTTTTAAAGTCTTCTCATAGTTAATACCATAATTGGATTCCTCTTAAGATGAATTCTTTCAAATCTTACAGTGAATATGGGTGCAGTGGACAGTACAAATCCATGGTATTTAAAATAATGTAAGTTTACCTAAATAAATAATTTTGAGCTGGGAAGAAATGAATTCTTAAAGAACGAAATAAATCTTCTAAATATATGTATAAACTCCACTGAAATAAGTGTTCCTTTACATATAGATATTTTTCCAGCAAATTATATAAAACATAAAGAACATACTTAACTTTTAAGACTAAAGCAATTTTTAAATGACTTCATAGAAACTGATATTGAAAAAAATTCAATGAGGGGAAAATCTATAAACCTTTACTGTAAAAACACCTCATTCATTATTACCGATTCTGACAAACCACAGGAAAACAACATCATCTCCATGGTACATTAACTACATACGGTGATATTAACGGACTAGAAACCTGGATCACTTACAGACTTCATCACTCAGCAATAGTATTTTTTAAAAAGGAGTCCGAGGTTCTGTGATATAGACAAGTATGCATACACAACTATACAGTCACTATCTGTGAAATATAGACATAATGTAAGGACGTCTAGGAGAAGCAGAAAAATAAAAATCAAAGACTCTAAGCCACAAACCATCACAATGCCCCTTCCATTTCACATTCCAACGGGTTTAAATGTTTTAAAAGTTTTATACCATTTCCCTCCAATAATGAGTCTGCAGCCAAACAAGTATTAATCAGGAGGCACCCTGAAAGAACAATACTTACAATGTTTTTGGGATGCAAGTTGTATTGATTGACCCCATAGCTTTCTATCTTGATTTCTGAGACTCTCGTTGATGAAATGAACTGCAGGTATAGCTTTGTGCTGGGCATGTTTTAGTAGTTTTCCTTCTTTCATACGATCTAGCTCTTGCATAACGACCCAGGGAATTATTAACACAAGTTTGTCAAAACCTAAAAAAAAAAGGATTTCTTAGAATTTAACAAACATTTATTGAGCTACTAAATAGAATTGCTGTCCAAGAGGTGAAAGTTTTAAAGCGCACAGTCCTCCCTACCTTTGAGAAATTCAGAATAAATTGAGAGACAATATACTAAAAAACAGAAATTAAAAAGAGAATAATGTGTCAAAAGAATGTTAAAAAAATAAGCACTCTTGGAGATCAAAAAAAGAGTGAGTTCAGATTGCTAGTTTAACCTGTAAAGGCTTTTTTTAAACTTATAACACTGAATATGCTTAATATATAGCATATCCAAATGGAGACATATTCGTGGGAGAAAAAGCCACATCACTGTTAATATAAAATATCAACTCAGGGAAGAAAATCAGAATCTTTAAATATGTTCTGTAAATACCTGGTACTTCTGTTGTCTTCAGAATTCTAACAAATTTGAGATGATTCATCAGAATATTTGTGTCAATAACAATTAGAAGTTTTCTGTCTGAAGTATTATTTGCTAGAGAAAAAGAGCAAAGATTTCATGATATTTGATAATAGACTTACATAATGTCTAAAATTTTGATATCATAGAAGCATTGAAAATTCAATTAAATTTAAAACGCCTCTTTGTCTTGTTAACTATATCAGAGATTTACACAGTTGGCTAGACTCTAAAGTTGCTATCTATCTGGTCCGTATCTTTGTTGCCAAGTAAATTTCTCCCCAATCAATTAAGGGTCCTCTGGATAGGAACTGCAACCACTGTTTGGAGTGGGAGTGGGGTGGAGAATCATCTAAGTCAAAGTGGCCAGAGAAGGTAAGGGTTGGCAAAGCAGAAATACACAGGAAACCTGGGGCCAAGACTGTGAAAAACCAGTCATGGAGAATGTTTTTGATAGCATTCTTAAGAGAAGTCCTTTAGACAATAAAAACAAAATTGCTTTTACTTCGATTCTTAAGAGAAAGAATAGTAATCAATGTTTAATCACCCACCAGTAGAACAGTATAAATTGCTTGTAGGTGGATTTTCAATTATGAACTGACTAGCCGGGGAAGTAATTATGTTTCTAACTTCTGTCATGGATCACTGGCAGCTGTGCTTAGTAATTATAAGCTAATTTTAACATATCCTGAGTGAATATAATCGAAAGATAAATATGTGTAAAAGAAAATACATGCCAGGTTTGGTGGCTCACACCTGTAATCCCAGCACTTTGGGAGGCTGAGGCAGGCGGATCACCTGAGGTCAGGAGGTCAAGATCAGCCTGGTCAACATAGTGAAACCCCATCTCTACTAAAAATACAAAAATTAGCCGGGCATGGTGGCACACGCCTGTAGTCCCAGCTACTCAGGAGGCTGAGGCAGGAGAATGGCTTGAATGCAGGAGGCATAGGTTGCAGTGAGCAGAGACAGCTCCAACGCACTTCAGCCTGGGTGACACAGGGAGACTCCGTCTCAAAACAAAAACAAAAACAAACAGAAAAAGAAAATACATAATAATACTAGCATTGTTACTGCATAGGATCATTTTAAGGTTCAGATAAGTTAACACACAGGAAAACATTTGAAAGATGAAAACTACAATGTGAATGTAAAGGTAGCATTACTATTTTTTTTTTTTTTTTGAGATGGAGTTTTGCTGTTGGTGCCCAGGCTGAAGCACAGTAGCTCAACCTTGGCTCACCGCAACCTCTGCTTCCCAGGTTCAAGCCATTCTCCTGTCTCAGCCTCCTGAGTAGCTGGGAATACAGGCATGGGTCACCATGCCCAGCTAATTTTTTCATATTTTCAGTAGAGATGGGGTTTCACCATGTTGGCCAGACTGGTCTCGAACTCCTGACCTCAGGTGATCCACCCGCCTCAGCCTCCCAAAGTGCTGGGATTACAGGTGTGAGCCACCATGCCTGGTCAGCATTACCATTTTTAAAAACAGAATTTGAAATAGTACACTGACAGATTTTGGATAATCTCTATGATTACCTTCTCCCAGTAGCAAAAAAAAAAAAAAAAATCAAAATTTTACAACATGAACAAGAAATCAATAAATATAATACCTTCAAGCAATCTGCATTCTTTCTTTTTTTTTTTTTTTTTTTGAGAGAGAGGGTCTAGTTCTGTCACCCAGGCTAGAATGTGGTGGCGCAATCTTGGCACACTGCAGTCTCAACCTCCCAGGCTCAAGCAATCCTCCCACCTCAGCCTCCTGAGTAGCTGAGACTATAGGCGCATGCCATCACACCTAGCTAACTTTATTTTCTATAGACACGAAATCTCACTATGTTGCCTAGGCTGGCCTTGAACTCCTGGGTTTGGGCAATCCTCCCATCTCAGCCTTCCAAAATGCTGGAATTACAGGTGTGAGCAACTGTATCAGCTATTTTGCGTTATTTCTGATCAGTGCTTTACGTAGTTGACATTGTTAAAGTTACAACAGAAAAAAAAAAAAGACAACTCATAATCCTAATTACTGCCTCTTGACAGAAAAAGAGAAAATATATCTAACTATCTAATAATGTGAAATATATAAAACTAATAAGACAAATATTGGATCTAATTCCTGTAGCTAAAAAAATAAACTATTACTTTATCATTCATTTCAAGTGAGCATATTTTTTAACATTTTTCATCGAAATATTATAAAAACTGAATATTGGCACATTAATTTTTAGGAAAGCATAGGAGAGCATAAATGTCAACATACAGGGTATACCAGAGGAAGAATGTACATCATCTTCTAAGTCAATTTCCATATTCATTAACTCTCCAGGTAAATCCACACTTTTTCCCACACGTGCAGCATGAAGCTCTTCTACTATCTGCATCTAAATTGTAAAAGACCCCAGTGAAATATTTTGAGTTACTTTGCAGATTGACAAGAGAAGAAAGCAATTAATTCTTAATTCACTTGAGATGGTTTATGGAAAGAAAAATTTTATAAAACTCTGAAGGCAGCATAGTAAAATAATAAAGATTTATAAACACACACATGGTTTTCAAAATAGTTTTCTTCTTACCTCCGCAACCTTATGCAAACAAATTATTTAACAACTTTGGATCTCAGTTTGTTAATTCACAAAATAGGAATCTTTAATATCTATTTCCTTTAGGATTTTTGTGAGGAATAAATGAAATAAGCTAGGTGAAGCTCCTTGCACAGAGTCAAATACCTAGACATTAAAGTAAGTTCATTCTCATTTCAATTCTCACTTCATTTTAGGAGTCAAAATTTTTTTATCTTGACTGTGAGCATTCTTCTTGAGATTTCTAAGATTATTTATGAACCATCATAAACTGAAATCTAGATCTTAAAAACATTCTCACTTCACAGAAATACTTCTCTGATGTTATTCTGACACAAAGAAATGAAATACAATCTAGCTTTAGATCAGAGATGAGACACCTTTCTTCTATCAAGGAGCACCTCAAAACAGAAAAATACAATTGACTGTCACAAATAAAAATCAATTAATATAGTTTGAGAGTTGTTTTGTTTTGTTTTGAGACAGAGTCTTGCTCTGTCACCCAGGCTGAAGTGCAGCGGCACAATCTTGGCTCACTGCAACCTCCATCTCCCAGGCTCAAGTAAGTCTCCCACCTCAGCCTCTTGAGTAGCTGGGATTACAGGCATGCACCACCACGCCCAGCTAATTTTTGCATTTTTAGTAGAGACGGGGTTTCGCCATGTTGGCCAGGCTGGTCTCAAACTCCTGACCTCAGGTAATCCTCCCGCTTTGGCCTCCCAAAGTGCTGGGATTACAGGCTTGAGCCACCGTGCCCGGCCTGAAAGTCTTTAAACAGACAATTACAAAGTGTTCCACAAATCTCATCTTAACTTAGGACAAGTGAACATAAAATTCTATGAAGATCAGTCAGGGGACTCTGGTTGGGAAATGAAACAACCTTTTTAGGTAAACACTCATGTACTCTCATTTTCATTGAATAATGTTTTCATCTGACGATTTTTAAAATGAAGTAAAAACAGGTTAATGTCCTACTGCATTTTGGCAACCCTAGGCATAAACAGGGAAAGTGTCATAAAATTAAATCAAAATTCAGATTACTTGTGGGCCACTGGTTTCATGCTCTTTGTTCACAACAGATAACCTTACTAGAAACAAAAAGTACTAAGGTATACTTTTCTGAATAGTTTTGCATGACTTCATAAAACCTTACATATCGATTTAAATAGAGACATCATTGTATTTTCATATTATCAAGGTTTCTACAGTCATTATTTTTTATTAGAAGTAGGAACTGTTTGACTTAATTTCACTAAAAATTTCAAAGTAAATAAGAATATCAGTAACCTCTTGGTCTGTATCCTGGATACTTTCAGATGACACTGAAGAACATGGTGCTTCAAAACTCTGAAATGAAAGTAATTTCATTAGCTAAGAATAAAGCGTAACCTAAATAGGGTTTTTCAACCTTGTCACTATTAACCTTCAGGGTCAGATAATTCACTTTAGGGGTTGCCCTGTGCATTGTAGGATGTTTAGCAGCATCAGTGACCTCTATCCTCCAGAATGTCAGCAGTACTACCGACCTACCCCTACTCCCAAATTTTTTTTTTTTTTTTTTTTTTTTAAAGACAGGGTCTCACTCTGTCACCCAAACTGGAGTTCAATGGCATGATTATGGTTCACTGCAGCCTCAACCTCCTGGACTCAAGTGATCCTCCCACCTCAGCCACCTGAGTAGCTGGGACCACAGGCACACCAACACACCTGGCTAATTTTTGTATATTTTGTAAAGATGGGGTTTTGTCATGTTGCCCAGTCTGGTCTCAAAACTCCCGAGCTCAAGTGATCCACCCGCCTCAGCTTCCCAAAGTGCTGGGATTACAGGCCTGAGCCACAGTGCCAGCCCCACCCTCAGTCTTGACAATCAAAAATGTCTCCTGGCATTGCCAAATGTCCCCTGAGGGGCAAAATTGCCTCCAGATGAGAAAGTGCCCCTAGAACAGAGAAGCCCCATTCTATCAAGTCATGAAACATGGTAGAATTCTTCATATACAGATTCATAAAAATACTATATTCTAAGAATAAAATTACATGCCACCCTAAAAAAAGAGAAATAATGAATGCAAAGGTAAACAAGTTGGCCTTCAGTGGTGAAAAATTTTCATCCAAGAGTAACTAAGCCATTTCTACAAGTGACATGATAAAACAACAAAAGGAACTTAAGGATTATAATAAGGCTAAAAAGGAAAAGCTGAAAAATGCACAGTTATATTATATGTAGTTAGAGCACCAGGGGTTTGTGTTTTATTTTTTGTCTTCAAACAAAGTTTGAAAAATCTCTCTCCAAATTCCAATTTTCCACTGGCATTTCTTCTGAGTGGATGAGACCCACCTGACTCTACATAACATACAGGTGACAGGAAACTCAGCAAAAGAACAACTGAACGAAATAATCTTCTAAGAATTCTCCAAGATAACGCAAAACTAACATGTATTTTATGGAAAGCTATTTCTGCTATGAACTACAAACACTCTTCTTTGAGACAGAGTCTCATTCTGTTGCCCAGGCTGTAGTGGCATGATCTCAGGTCACTACAACCTCCACCTCCTGGGTTCAAGAGATTCTTCTGCCTCAGCCTCCCAAGTAGCTGGGACTACAGGTGCCTGCCATCACACCCGGCTAATTTTTGTATTTTTAGTAGAGACAGGGTTTCACCATGTTGGCCAAGCTGGTCTCAAACTCCTGACCCCAAGTGATCTGCCCACCTCAGCCTCCCAAAGTGCTGGGATTATAGGCACAAGCCACTGCGCCCACACAAACATACATCATATGTAGAAATGTACATCATATGAGAAATCTCTGCAGCACGTCGTATAGTTTCTTTTGGTCTCTATGTAGAATTACTACACAAACCAAAAGAGGTACATAGCAATAATATTAAGTCACATCATATGTAGAAATGCTTTACTGAGAATTCAGCTTCCCCCCTAACTTTCTGGCTAAATGCTTTACTGGGAATTCAGCTTCTACCCAACATCAAACTTCACATGATATAATAACATACACTTCACAAACATAGGCTCATCATAGTTTTACTATTTCATGACCCTGAGATTCAGAATCCCTTCTCCATATAACTTTAAATCTTACTGATCTTTAAAGTTCTCTTTAAGAAGTGCCAAACAAGCCAGAGATTATTATCAGAAATTCTTGTGGCTTTTGACATTGTACATCTCTTTATTCTCTTCCTTTGATTACTATTACCCTTTGCTCTCTCTGTTCATGGGCCACCTACAGTGACTTCAATGAATTTTCTACCACCAAACAATCCAGAGAAGTTCATGCATTTAACTGTTTGCCTCCCCCACAATGCCTTATTAAATACATAGGTTGGGATAAAGCCTTTCCTGAGGATGACAAAAGGGAATATGGTAACGAAGATAATAATGGCTCTATCTACCAAAGTGATTCCAAATGGAAAACACAATTACATTATTTCCTTGACTGTGGTTCAGTGGCTGTCTTCCATCTACAAGATATGAGATAAAAACCAGTCTTTCCCGTAATACAAAATCATTCATTGTCTAGAGACCCTGGCTTTCTCTGGCTTTCTCTCCAACTTGCTTTCCTACAGATTCTCTACCCATCTTGACTCTAGTCATACTGACAACCTATATGCTCATGTACCTTCCTTCCATGCAATTTTACAACTCTGTGCCATTACACACACTGGCCCTCTACCCTAGCTGGACAGCACTTCTAGTCCTCACCTGACATGTCCTTCGAGATGATGCTTTAGAACTACCACGTTAGTGAGCCCTTCCTTAATTCACCCGGAGATTTATACTAACATCACACCCAATTCTTAGGACTCTGATATTTACTTCACTATAGTACAATCATATTTTTGTACTTACTAGTCTGCCTCCCTGGGACCTTCTTGAGGCTAACATCTTACTCATGTCTAAATCCCTAGTACCTAGAAAAATAATAGGTACCTTTAATAGCTGTTTGATAAATGAATTCCTACTTTACAGTCTTGTAAGAATTAAATGTAATGCTGTTTTTAAAAATAGACCATAAACCATAAATCTCTAGGACATTAATTTTCAATGAGGGGGAGGTTTGCAATTTGAGAGGGGTCTGTATCAAAGAACTATAAAACCTAAGAAACAAAAGAAGTTATTTTTTTCTTTAGAAAGCATAACAGAATTACTAAATCCAGAAAATACAATTATTTTCCTTGTAAAGTACACTCATTATTTTAGGAAAACAATTATCTATTGAGGAATTAGTGGGTAAAACATAAAAACAAACAGGGTATTAAGATGATTATCTGCTGTCAATAATACGCTGAAGATAATATACACAAGATAAGGATATTTACTTGCTGTTTCTGTGTCTAAACGACTTTAAGCCTGATAATACTGCTATCAGAGAAGTTTTTAAAGAGTCTAAATTCCAATAACTGGAAAGTGGTCATGTAAAAACTGCTTCTTCTGCAACTTAATATTCTTGCTATGTACCTCCTTTGGTTTGTGTAGTAATTCTACATAGAGACCAAAAGAAACTACACGACACACTGCAGAGATTTCTCATACTATTCCTTAGATGCATAGCACAATGGGAAAACCAGGCAATGATACAATGATGATCACTGAACATACTGGCAACTTCAAGTTCCTTTCTTTCATTCTACTCTAGAGAAATGGTTATAACACAAGAAGAAAAACTGGCGATTTTTCCTTTAAGAAAGCAGTGAAAACAAACTCAATTCAAACTCAATTCTTGCCCTCTTGGGGCCCCTTCCAGTTCACTTAAGCTAAAAATACTCATCCCCAAGCTCTTCTGGCCTCCTTAGTTATAATTCCTCCATTTTTCATAAGAAATATCTTACCATTGCAATCCACAGTCTTTTTTTTTTTTTTTTTTGAGACGGAGTCTTGCTCTGTTGCCCAGGCTGGAGTGCAGTGGCGCAATCTCGGCTCACGGCAAGCGCTGCCTCCCGAGTTCACGCCGCCTCCCGGATTCACGCCATTCTCCTGCCTCAACCTCCCAAGTAGCTGGGACTACAGGCGCCCACCACCGCACCTGGCTAATTTTTTGTGTTTTTAGTAAAGATGGGTTTCACTGTGTTAGCCAGGATGGTCTTAATCTCCTGACCTTGTAATGTGCCCACCTCGGCCTCCCAAAGTGCTAGGATTACAGGCGTGAGCCACCGGGACTGGCCACAGTCCACAGTCTTAATACCTAAAAGCAGGCAGGCTTACCCATCCCTGTTTATCAGTGGTCTCTACATATCAGAATTTCTGAAGTTCTAAAGTTCCAAGGTTCCACAATTCTAAAAGTACTCTTGAAGATAGTAACTTTATTTGCCATAGAAACAAAATTATAGAGATTAGGTTCTCAAAGTAGTCCATAAATGCCAATTACATTACATAATTTTAAAGCAAAATAGATGTGCCAAGCTTTCTAGCCTAGATCCCTGCTCATGTAGCTCCCTCTGCCTAAAATATCCCTGCTTCTTCCATTCCACCTCCCTTCACCGTCACCTAACTTCTACTCATTCTTTAGGTCTGTTTAAATGTTACTCCCTCTAGCCCCCAGTAAATCCTTTTTTTTTTTTTTTTTTTTTTTTTTGAGACAAGGTCTCTTTCTGTCATCTAGGTTGGAGTGCAGTTGCACAATCGGCTCACCATAACCTTGAACTCCTGGGCTCAAGTGATCCTCCCACCTCAGTCACCTGAATAACTAGGACCACAGACTCACACCACCACACCCAGCTAGTTTTTATTTTTTTGTAGAGACCCGACTCGGTATGTTGCCCAGGCTGGTCTTGAATTTCTGGCCTCAGACAATCTGCCTGCCTGGGCCTCCCAAAACACTGGAATTACAGACGTGAGCCACTGTACCCAGTCCCCTCCAGTATACCTTTCTAAACTAATTCTTTCATGATGTACTAAAGCTATAAAATCCCCTGCTGTGTATTCTCTTAAGTGATAGGTATTTTACTTATCATATTTAAGGAAATTGCTTGTGTCTCTCTTCACTTGAATCAGTCCCTGAAAACAGACTGTGTTATCTCTTACAAGCTATTTTATTGCAGTGCCTGGTACACGGTGACACTGAAAAAAATTATCTGTTTAAAGACTATTCAGAATATTGTCCCCTGAGTGTTCTCCAGCATACAATGCTTTTTTCAAAGGACTATCTGTAGCTGCTTCTCACCACATTTTTACACATTCCCTTCTATTATGAATCCTTGATACCTGCCAAAATATCTGTCTAAAAAAGTTGGAATTAAAGAGAGTAAAATAAAGAAACCGACATATAACTTCATGAATAAATTTGAATCAGCCATCTATGATTATCATCAGTAACAGAAACAACTAAAAAGGCCATGTGTAGTGGCTCACATCTGTAATCCCTGCACTTTGGGAGGCTGAGCAGGAGTGAACTGTTTCAGCCCAGGAGTTCAAGACCAGCCTAAGCAACATGGTGAAACCTCATCTCTACAAAAAACACCAAAGTTAGCCCAGTGTGGTGATGTGTGCCTATAGTCCCAGCTACTAGGGAGGCTGAGGCAGGAGGATTGCTTGAACCCAGGAGGTCAAGGCTACAGTAAGCCAGGATCGTGCCACTGCACTCCAGCTTAGGCAACAGAGTGAGACCCTGTCTCAAAAACAAAAAACAAAAAAAGAAAAAATACAGAAATATAGAAAAAACTTAACTATATTAATAAACTCTCAGTTAAAACCTATCTTCTTCATTTTTTACCACCTTACCTGGGTTAGGTTTTCACTAGAATGTGAATCATTACTTTCTTGACGGCCATAATGATGTTTTCGTTTCCATTCATGAACAGTCTGCTTATATGTGAAATCTGAAAGTAAATGTTCAGTTTTCTGCCTAGTTACATTTAATGAAACCTGGGAGCTTTCCAGGTATTCTTTTTCTTCCTGCTTAGTCTTCAACTTGTTAGAATCTAAATTGAAGACATTTTCTTCTACAAGTTTCTGGAGGGTGTCATGAGATTTTATAGGGATTTTGAAACTGATCTTCTGTCTTCTAGATTCCAAGGGTTCCTTCATTATCTTGTTGGAGTTATAATCCTGAGAAAATTGATTTCTCTTCCATTTCTCTAAGACACATTTTTCAGAATTGTCTCTAAATTTATTGTTTCTTTCTTTCTTGAGTTCTTTCATCTTCTCTCTCTGAACAAGTAAATGAGACCATTTATTTTCACTTGCCTGGCCTTCGGCTTTAAGTTTCACATCACTGGCAATCTTAGAACTACTAAGGCTTTTAATTCCATGGTCAAGCTTGCTCCTAGCATTTGTCAATTTGATATCTTTATGTTTAAAGTCTACACATTTATGTATGTCTCTTTTAGTTCCATTTGAAGAAGGACTCTGTGATATAATTTGATTGTCATTTGAATTTGATGCTTCTTGGAGTTTAATAGGTCTTTGGGATGAAGAACTGATTTTTGGTCTCCTTCTGAGAGTGTCAATTTCTACACTCAATCTGTAAAGCAGCACAGAAACCTGGGTTACATTATAATTATACATAATGTTACACGCTATCATTTTAGTTAGAATAACAGAATTGGGCTGACATTAAGCTTCATAAAAAGTAAGAAATAGCTACATTAAGAATGAAGTGGAAAGGATTACTCACTTAATGGTGTTAGAATAATTAGTTTGTTATTTGCAAAAAAAAATTACAACTTTAAATAGTACCAAACATAAATTCCAAATGGATTAAATATTTAAGTGTAAAATAATTATTATCATCATAATAATTTTGTACTTCATATTAAACCCTTAAAAACCAGTGAGTAAAAACAGAATGCATGTTTGATTTCTTTTTTTTTTTTTGAGATAGGTTCTCACTCTGCTGCCTAGGCTAGAGTGCAGTGATGCAAACATGGCTCACTGCAGCTTCAACCTCCCAGGCTCAGGCAATCCTCCTACCTCCCAGACTACCACATAACTGGGACTACAGGAGCATGCCACCATGCCTAGCTAATTTTTGTAATTTTTTTGTAGTGACAAAGTTTTGCTATGTTGCCCAGGCTGGTCTCGAACTCCTGGGCCCAAGAGATCCACTTGCCTTGGCCTCCCAAGGTGCTGGGATTACAGGTGTGAGCCACTGTACTTCGGCCTATCCGATTTCTCTTTTTCTTTTTTTGAGACAGCATCTCACTTTGTCACCCAGGCTGGAGTGCAGTGGCGTGATCTCGGCCCACTCCAAACTCAACATACCAGGCTCAAGAGATCCTCCCGCCTCAGCCCCCTGAGTAGCTGGCACTACAAGTGTACACTACCACATCTGGCTAATTTTTGTAGTTTTTTTTTTTAACGTAGAGACAAGGTTTTGCCATGTTGCCCAGGCTGGTCGAACTCCTGGGCTCAAGCCATCTGCCCACCTTAGCCTCCCCAGTGTGCTGAGGCTACAGGCATGAGCCACTACGCCCAGCCTGATTTCTTAATAGAGAACTTCCCAAACTTAAAAACAGTGGGATAAATAACAAAGGAAAACACTGATAATATGTGACTACTTACTTTAAAACCTTAGCATATTAAAAATTAATTAAAATGTTAAGAACTAGGAAATGGTATTTGTTAGATGTACTAACTTCTAGAAAAATAATATGTTAATAAGCTTACTAGCCTTAGTAAATAAAAAGTTCATCAAAAACTACTAAGATTCTAGAATAGGGCATAAACAAAAAATTAATAAAAGAAAATGGCTAATAAACATTTTAAAAAAGTTTGACTTCTCTAGTAATCACAGACATGCTAATAATAACAATAACATACCATTTTCTTCTTCTTCTTTTTTTTTTTTTTTTTTTTTGAGACAGTCTCACTTTGTCGCCAGGCTGGGTGCAGTGGCGCAATCTTGGCTTACCGCAACCTCCGCCTCCCAGGTTCAAACGACTCCACTGCCTCAGCCTCCCAAGTAGCTGGGACTACAGGCACACACCATGACGCCCTGCTAGTTTTTTGTATTTTAGTAGAGACGGGGTTTCACCATGTTGGCCAGGATGGTCTCGATCTGACCTCGTGATCTGCCTACTTCAGCCTCCCAAAGTGCTTGGATTATAGGTGTGAGCCACCACAGCTGGCCCATACCATTTTCTTCTATCAAATTAGCAAAGATTTTATAATAACATCAAATACTGACAAGGGGTTGTAAAATGGACACTCTCACATGTTGCTGATAGAAATGTAAAACAACATAACAGTCCCACAAAGAAATCTGAATATAAACTAAAAACTCCAAAAATGGTCATTTTTTTACGTCTGGAATTCCCATTTTAGAAACCCATACCAAGGTGAAAAAAATCAGAAATGAAAAAAATATTCAGGATTACTTATAATAGCAAAACAATCAGGTACAAAGTAACTGCTAAAATTTTGGAAATGACTTTAAAAAGTGGTATATTCATATGATGGAATACTATAGTTTTTTTAAAAGGATGTTTATGAAAAGTCTTCTGTGACATAAACCATATCGAAAATCAAAAACAAGCAGGATACAAATCTGTACATATAATATGGTCTCAACACCTTAAACAAGCATAGTAAAAACACCAGAGAGAAAGGCACTAAAATGTTAGAAACAGCAATAGCTAGAGGTGATAATTATATTTTAGTGCTTAATAAAAGTAGATATTACTTTGTAGTCAGAAAAAAAAGGGGGAAAATATCAAACACAATCTATTAATTTATATCAGTAAATCTGTGCCTTTTCAGTGCCATCACTCTGGCAGGCACCCAAGAGGCAGTAGAGGACACAGCAGATAGAGTCTTTACCCTCAGTTAGGTTACAGCCCAACAAGAGTGATACACTTAACAAGTGACTTCTCAAATAATTAATTATGTAAGACCAAACCATAAACAGAGTTTTTATAAGAGTTTCACCTGAGTTTCCAGCACATATGCACGCATGAATGTAAGTATGTCTTTGCTTGTTTGACAGAGTCTCAATCTATCACCTAGGCTGAAGTTCAGTGGTGGCATGCGACTGTAGTCCCAGTTACTTGGGAGGCTGAGGTGGGAGGATCACTTAAGCCCAGGAGTTGGAGGCTGCAGTGAGCCGAGATTGTGCCACTGCACTCCAGCCTAGGCAACAGAGTGAGACCCTGTCTCAAAAAAAAAAAAAAAAAAAAATGCCCTCTCCGCCTTCACTGCCACCATGGCACCCATGAAAAACCTTGTGGCAAAGGGGGGCAAAAAAAAAAAACAGGTTCTGAAGTTCACTCTTGATTGCATCCACCCCATAGAAGATGGAATCATGGATGTTGCCAATTTCCAGCAGTTTTTGCAAGAGAGGATCAAAGTGAACAGAAAAGCTAGGAATGTCGGTGGAGGGGTTGTGATCAAAAGGGCAAGGGCAAGATCACCATGACTTCCAAGATGCCTCTTCCTAAAAGGTATTTGAAATAAGAAATATTTGAAGAAGAACAATCTACGGGATTAGATGTGCGTAACTGCTAACAGCAAAAACGGTTATGAATTACGTTACTTCCAAATTAACCAGGACGAACAAGAGGAGGAGATGAGGATTCAAATTCACGTACACGGAATATTTTATATGCATTCTTGAATAAAACTTGGGAACCAAAATGGTGGTTCATCCTTGTATCTCTGCAGTATGGATTGAACAGAAAATTAGAAATCACAGTCAAAGGGCTTCATTTGGGCTGCCACGCACTCATTTGTAACTAGACTTTTTTTTTCTGTTTGAAAATTTCAATTCTTATGGCAATACCAGAATAGAAGGAGATGGTGACTTCAAGGGAACTGACAACCACTGGGCAGGTAGATAAGGGTGTGGAGATGTAGGCTGCAGATAGTCACTGTTTTATTTTTAAAAGTATGACTGTCAATCGTCTCTGGTGCTTTTCTCAAAAAAAATGATTCAGGAATACAAGTGGGCTTCTCTCATTACTTAAAAGAAAACAAGTGACATCTGTCTAAGATTCCCTGTGGAAAATGACAGTGTCAATAAAATGCAGGTTTCTGGGCCCTTCATCTTACTTTCATTTTTTTATTACAAATTTGTCTTGATGTACACAGTTACGTATACTAATCATTTTCTTCCTATAGAAAGAAACTGTGCTCCTTCAGCACTGCTGCATAGTCCATCACCCACCATAAAAGGCTTGGAGAGAGACTGAAAAGTCCCAGGTTCTAAATTAAGTAAATATGTACAAGAATGGATTTACACATAATCTGTTTCTACAAGTCTTTGCAACAAACTGTCACTTTGGTTTCCAGCAGAGGGAGCCAGAGGAATAGAGCTTCCAGATGTGGCCTCCTGTGTGGGGCCCAGAGTTAGGGGCCCTTCAGGCCGAGAGCTCTGGAGGCTCTCCTGAATGTGGTGGCACAAAGAAGTGACTGGGAAACCTCCCATGCCAAGGAGACAGGAGGTGCCCAGGAAATTTGCTTCATGCTACTTAGGCCATGACTAGATTTAATGTCAGAAGTCATTGTACAAATAGTGGTGTGCCTCAGTGCATGCAGAGGCTAGAGAACCACCAGAGGGGGCTACCAAAGTTAGGATGACAGAATTGTTGCAGTGACTTTGAAAGAGACCCTGATGGCTTGTGATGCCCTTCAGAAATTTGAACAATAACGCAGAAGTGTCTGCTCTGTTTTAGAATTTACGGTGTATAAAATTCATGTTTTTAAAAGAGCTTGCCTACAGTTGGTTTCCACACCTGAAATTGTTGTGCTCTGAGAGTTGCATAGCTGAAAATTCAATGTTCAAATTCTACCTTGGCTCCAATTTAACATTTGGTGCTTTGTGGATTGAGTTGAACATGCTGAGGCTTTGCAATTTCACTTGTGGTAATAACAGCGCTAGCATTTTCTCTTTCTGTGCAAATTTCTTTGAAGCATAATTGCTTGCATATTTCTTCTCTGCCTTCAGAGAAGGCAGTTTCTTTTAAACTTCACTGAGGCATCAATAGCTCTTTGGCAATGTCCCTCACCAAGATCATTAACTATAAGTTTGTGCCTTGAGTTTACAAATTTTACTTGTGTGTTGCACTGATGCTCCCATGTAGTAATTTTTAGTTTAGTTGTAAAAAAAATTAATTCTGGGCTGAAGTTAGCATTTCAGTTCTAAAAAAAAAAAAGGAAAAAAAAATGTGTGTGTGTGTGTAGAGATGGGGTCTCACTACGTCGCCCAGGCTGGTCTCAAACTCCTGGCTTCAAGTCTTCCTCCCACCTCGGCCTCCCAAAGTGCTGGGAATACAGGTATGACCCAGTGTGTCCAGCTTCTTGCATATATATTTTTTTTATTATTTTGTTTTTAATTTTTTTTTGAGCTGGAGTCTCGCTGTGTCGCCCAGGCTGGAATGCAGTGGCGCAATCTCCGCTCACTGCAAGCACCGCCTTCTTGCTTTTATTTTTATTGCTAATACATTTCTATGTATTCAAACCATGGAACAGGAATTACAGAAATGGTGTGCTGTAACTGCCTTTCCCGATGATAAAATTATCTCTAGTTTTTCATCTGTATTATGGCTTTCACTATTTGCACACCAATTTCAGAAATTTCTCTAGAGTTGAATTAACAGGGATATTTCTACAAAACATTTTATATTTTACCCTCTTACATATCAATATAATATCAAGGGCCAAAAAATGTGCCCTTAAACAAAAGGTAACTAGTTTGAAGTCAAATAGTGTTTTAGAAATTAAAATTTTAAAAAAAGAAGGATATCAGTGTAAAAGGACTTAAAATAGTTCAAAAAATGTAGCAAGGGATAGTCAACATAATATGAAATTAGTGCAAGAATATACTTCAACAGAGAATAACACAGAAGCAAAGTATCACCAAAAAACAGGAGATGATCCAGAAGAAAAACTGAAGAAAAGACAGAGGCAAGTTGAAATTTTTTGTTTTTGTTTTTTGTTTTTAGCAAACACTAACTGAGACTGTTGGGAAGCAGAACTTTTATTTATAATATTTAATGCTATCTTGTTTTCCCTTAACTTCTTATTTTTGGAGAAACCTTGATCTTACCAAGTTTTATCACACGTTATAACTTTGTATACTCCCCTATTAGCAGCAAGTACTTTCTGCACCAAAATTTCACTGAAATTTTTATCCAAAAAGTGCAGAAATTAAAGAATAATAATTTCCATTATTCTGACCATCATTCCCCAACTTCTCTAGCTATAACTACATACTGGTTAATAAACACGGTTTTAAAGCCATATCAATTCTGTAAGATACATACTCTCTTCATGGGTAATACGTGAAAATGATTTATCCAAAATCTCTAATTTAGCCTCATAACTTACTTCAGTATCGTATGCAATGAAGTTATGCATCTTATAATCATGTGCCAAAATCAAACCACTTGAGATAAAAATGTACATTTTTGTGTCATTTACACAATAGTTTTCATAGACTTTTATTTCACCCAACTCTTTCCTAAATTTATAGTAATATTAAGAGAATTCTATAATCATAATCAGTGATATAGCTAGAGATATTTGCATGCAAAACAGTCCTCTTCAAAGTAAACTAAAAAATTTTTTAATCTGAATATTTAGTCTAATTCTAAACCAAAATAGTAAAATTAAAAAGAAGAAATTTACCTTTTCTGTTCTTGTCTTCTTTTTATATTACAGTACAGAACATCTATATGATCTGATTTCTGAAATTTAAAAAAAAAGTCTATCATTTAGGAAACATTAATTGTGCACTGGTACATATTTTTTCCCACAGTTTATGATAGCGAATAGGCTGACACAATACTTTTAATTAATCCTTCCAATATTTTGGTGAGACAGATATTATCATCATCCCCGTTTCACAAAACTCAAACAGAGGTAGGTATCTTCCTTAAAGTCACAGAGCAAGTCCGCAGCACAGCAGTTATCTGAAACTAGATCTGTCTGACTCTCTCTGCGCTACCGTCCTGTCTCTCTACGTACTCCGAGGAAACAGGGCCAAGCACAAGAAAGATGAGAGAGAGACACAAAATATAATCCATGTCCTAAAGAGCTTAGAGTTTATGGTTTTACATAAAATAATAAAGACAAGAGAAGTCGAACATCTACAAATAACCTACTATAAGGATGTAACTAAGCGTCAAAGCAGAAGAGTCAAAAAATGCTAAAACAGTTCAAAATATCAACCACCTAAAGAGGAAAGATACCTAGGAAAACAGGTGGACAAAATAACCATAAATAATAAAGCTTGAGAGATGGGTAAAAGAAGAAGGCATTCTAAGAAACTGAGGATAACTGGTAAAAATTCAGCAGAAAGAAAAAAAAAAAACACAGCCAAGAAAAGATGGCCTCTTTCAAGGAAAGAAGGGAAAACAACAACAAAAAAAACCTGGATAGTTAAGGTATGAACAAATTTGAGAGAGCCCTGAATGGCAAACAGTGAGTAAAGATTTTCAGCAGAGGACAAATGGGATGAAATCAGTGTTTTAAGAAGGTTACCACTGCAAAAATAAATAGAAACCCAGCTTAACTATATGACAACAAGTAAATTCTTAAAACACAATTCTGCATCCCTGGAACTTCCACTACCTTATCTTATACCCACCACAACTACGTAGCTAACCTGGATAAGTACACAACTTCAACTTGAATGTGGTAAGTACATTACCACTAACCTATGAATTAGTTTATTGTGTTTAATCTGCATCACTGTTTCTAATTATTTGTATAACAGTGGAAAGAACTCTGGACTTGGTTCTGTTGCTGTACACAGTTATGTGGCCTTGAAAAAGTCACTTAACCTTCTAGATTTCAGTTTCTGAATCTGAAAATGCAAACAATGTATCAGCCTCGGCTATCTCAAAAGGAGACAAATATAACCTTTGGGAGGCAGAGGCAGGCGGATCACTGGAGGTCAGGAGTTTGAGACCATCCTGGCCAGCAAGGTAAAACCCTGTCTCTACTAAAAATACAAAAATTAGATGGGCGTGGCAGTGCATGCCTGTAATCCCAGCTATTAAGGAGCCTGAGGCAGGAGAATCGCTTGAACACGGGTGGTAGAGGTTGCAGTGAGCTCAGGTGGCACCACTGCACTCCAGTCCGGGGCAGCAGAGCAAGACTGTCTCAAAAAAAAAAAAAAGACAAATATAACCATATATGTGAGAGGACTTAAAAACTGTCTAAATTTATAGCCGTGTTGTCTTATCCCACATGGTAGGGCCTAACAGTACAAGAAATAAAAAACTTGACAAATGGTTTGGTGAGAAGAAAGAAAACAACACTGACTTTCTATTGGCTATGAAAAAGTATAGGAGGAATTTATATCACAAATCCTCTAACTGTCAATTAAAACTTTACTATAAATAACTTTTAGTTAGTTATGGTATCTAAACACTCACCCGTTTTCTCTTTTCTGATGAAACTGATCTTATAGAAGATGAACTAGTAGAACTTGCTGAGGTTTTTCTCTCTTTCTTGTCCTAAGAATGCCGTAAAGAAAACAAATTTTAAAAAGAACAAAATAAAGCACAGTATACACAGAACTATTTCATCACTAGTATTACAAATCAATATTTACATTCAATAATGAACTTTGGTGGGGAACAATGTTTACAGATACACAAACTTTGGTAAAAGGAAGGCAGATTCAACTAGAAGCCAGAACCCCTAAATGCTCACAAAATAGAGATGAGATAGGATACAGGTGTCAGAGCAGGAAGCCCGCTGACAGCTCAGATAAGGTTGTTGTGAGGTGGCACTGCCATGGTGAAAGTCAGTCTTCTACAACGCAAAACCACACGTCCACTTATTTTTCACTAGATTCTGAATTCAACAGACCTAGGACAAACTTGTTTGAAGTACCTATCACATGTCAAAGACATTCTAGACAGTGGAGAGAGATGAATGAAAAAATAATAACAGTTCTTCATGAAGGTCAAAATCTAGTACAGGAATTTACAAATAAACAAGTAATATATTTAGTGTGTCAGGTGATGCTATGGAAAAAAATAAAGCAGAGAAAGGAAACAGGAAGGGCTGGGAGTCAGTAAAGCAGAGAAAGGAAACAGGTAGGGCTGGGAGTCAGGAGTGGAGAAGATACACCATTTTAAACAGAGTAGTCAAACCCCACTTACGAGTTGACATCTGAATGGAGACCTAAATGAAGTGAAGAAACAAACCATTAGAATATTGAGGGAAAGAGTTTTTCAACTCAAAGGGAATGCCAGCAAGGGCAAATCCCCAGAGGCAGAAACATGCCTGCCTTGTTGGAACAGCAGCAAGGAGGCCATGGAGCAGAAAAGCAAATTATGCCAGGAGAGTGTCAGGGGGATGGGATGGGGAGAGGAGGCAGCTTTGTCAACCCTGGTAAGGATTTTGGCTTTTATTCTGGATGAACTGGAAAAACACTGGAAAGTACTTAGCAGAGGAATAACATGATTGGACTTATATTTTAATAGGACCACATTAGCTAGTGTGCTGAGAACAGACTATAAGGAAGCAAATGCAGAAGCAGGGAGGTCATTTTGGAAACTACTATAATAATTCAGGAAAACAAGGTGCTTGGATCATGGACATAACAGTAAAGGAGGTAGACTCTGCACACCAGTATACCTCGTTTTATTGTGCCTTGCTTTATTGTACTTCATAGATAATTGCATTATTTACAAATTGACGGTTTGTGGCAAGTCCATTAGCACCATTTTTCCAACAGTATGTGCTCACTTCATGTCTCTGTGTCACACTTCAGTAATTCTCACAATATTTCCAATGTTTTCATTGCTGTTATATTGCTATGGGACCTGTGTTCAACGATCTTTAATGTTATTATCACAGTTGCTTTGGGGTGCCACAAACTGCCCACATGAGACGGCAAACTTCACTGATAAATGTTGCGTGTGTTCTGTTTCACCCATCACCCATTCACCAGTCTCTCTCCCTCTCCTCAGGCCTCCTATTCCCTGAGACACAAGAATATTGAAATTAAGCCTATTAATGACCCAACAATGACCTCTAAGTGTTCAAGTGAAAGGAAGAAGTAAGGGTCTCTCACTTTAAATCAAAAGCTAGAACGGATTATGTTGACTGAGGAAGGTATGTCAAAAGCCAACGCAGGCTGAAGGCTAGTCTTGTGCCAAACAATTAGACAAGTTATGAATGCAAAGGGAAAGTTATTGAAGGAAATTAAAAGCACTACTCCAGTGAACGAATAAATGATAAGAAAGAAAAACAGCCCTATTACTGAAATTGGGCAAGTTTTGAGTGGTTTGGATAGAAAATCAAACCAGCCACAACGTTCCCTTTAGCCAAAGCCTAATCCAGAGCTAGGCCCTAACTCTATTCAACTCTGTGAAGGCTGACAGATATGAGGAAGCTTCAGAAGAAAAGTTGGAAGCTAGCAGAGGTTGGTTCATGAGGTTTAAGGAATGAAGTAATCTCTGTAACATAAAAATACAAGGTGAAACAGCAAGTGCTGATGTAGAAGCTACAGCAAGTTATCCAGAAAACCTAGTTGAGATCATTGATGACGGTGGTTGCTACACTAAACAGATTTTCAACATAGACAAACAGTGTTATATTGAAAGATGATGCCATCTAGGACTTTCATAGCTAGAGAGATGTCAATGCCTGGCTTCAACGGACAGGCTGACTCCGGTTAGGGGCTAATGCAGTTGGTGACTTTCAGTTGAAGCCAATACTTATCATTCAGAAAATCCTAGGTACCTTAAGAATGATGTTAAATCTGCTCTGCCTGTGTTCTAGAAATGAAACAACAAAGCCTGGATGACAGCACATGTATTTACAGCATGATTTACTGAATACCTTAAGCTCACTGTTGAAACCTACTGTTCAGGAAAAAAAAAAAAAGATTCCTTTCAAAATATTACTGCTCACTGGTAATGCACCTGGTCACCCAAGAGTTCTGATGGAGATGTACAAAGAGATGAATGTTGTTTTCATGCCTGCTAATGCGACATCTATTCTGCAGTCCATATAGATCAAGGAGTAACTTCAACTTTCACATCTTATTATTTAAAAAATACACTGTGTAAGGCTATATAGCTGCCATAGACAGTGATTCCTCTGATGGATCCAGAAAAAGTAAATTGAAAACCTTCTAGAAAGGATTCCCCTTTCTAGATGTCATTTAGAACACTCATGATTCATGGCAGTAGGTCAAAATAGCAACATTAACAGGAGTTTGGAAAAGTCGATTCCAAACCTCATGAATGACTTTGAGCAGACTAAGACTTCAGTGGAGAAAATAACTGCAAGAGAACTAGAATTTGAAGGAGAGGTTGAAAATGTGCCTGAATTGCTACTATCTCATGATAAAACTTCAATGGGGGCCGGGTGAGGAGGCTCACGCCTGTAATCCCAGCACTTTGGGAGGCCGAGTTGGGCAGATCACAAGGTCAGGAGTTCAAGACCAGCCTGGCCAAAACAGTGAAACTCCATCTCTACTAAAAATATAGAAACATTAGCCAGGCATGGTGGCGGGTGCCTGTAGTCCCATCTACTTGGGAGGCTGAGGCAGGAGAATCGCCTGAACCCAGGAGGTGGAGGTTGCAGTGGGCCAAGATCGCACTCCAGCCTGGGTGACACAGTGAGATTCTCTTTCAAAAAAAAAAAAAAAAAAAAGCTTTAATGGATTAGGAGTTGCTTCTTATAAATGAGCAATGAAACTGGTTTCTTGAGATTGATTTCTACTCCTGGTGAAGATGCTGTGCACACTGTTGAAATGAGAACAAATGATTAGAATATTATATAAACTTAATTGATAAAGCAGTTGTAGGGTTTGAGAGATTAACTCCAATTTTGAAAGTTTTGCTGTGAGTAAAATGTTGTCAAACCGAATTGCATGCTACAGAGAAATCTTTTGTGAAAGGAGAGTCAATGTGGCAAACTTCATCCACAGCACCCTATCCTTCAGTAATCACCACTCTGATCAGTCAGCAGCCATCAACATCAAGGCAAGTCCCTCTAGCAGCAAAGATTATGACTCACTCAAGACTCAAATGATCGTTAGCATTTTTTTAGCAATGAAATATTTTTTAAATTTATTATTACTACTTTTAGAGATGGGCTCTTGCTCTGTTACTTAGGCTGATGTGCTGTGGCACGATTCTCAGGCAGGAGGATCCCTTGAGCCTCAAACTCTTGGGCTCAAGGGATCCTCCTGCTTGAGCCTATAGTATTTTTAAATTAACATATGCACTTTTTTTAGACAGAATGCCATTGTACACTTAATAGACTACAGCACAGTATAAATGTAATTTTTATATGTACTGGGAAAACAAAAAATTCATGTGACTCACTTTACTGCAATATTTGCTTTACTGCACTGGTCTGGAACTGAACCCAAAATATCTCCAAGGTATGCCTATTATAAAAACAAAGCTCATAGAATTTGCTGATAGGTGCAGGCAGAGCACGATCACAAGGATTTCAGCCTAAGCAACTCAAAGAATGGAATCACAATTTAGTAAATTGGAAAAACAAAGCCTGGGTACCTGAAAGATCACAGTTTAATAAGATGAGGAGGAACTAGCAAAGGACACTGAGAAGCAGTCACCAATAAGGAGGAAAATCAAGAGAATATGGTATCTCTAAAGCCAGGTGAATTCCCTAGCAAGCAGACTCAGAGAAAAACAAAAAGCTTCATGAAAGTGTTTCGAGGAGAAGGTGTAATCAGCTATACCAAATACTGCTGATATGCCAAGTCAGATGAGGTCTTAGAAATGACCAATGGATTTAGCAACACAGAAACCACTGCTATAGGAGTGATAGAAAGAAAAAGTCTGACTAGAGTAGGTTTAAGAGGGAATGAGGGGTTAATTGCAAACAGCATGCCAGTTAATAACGGCAAATGGAGATGGGAAGTATATAAATTACACAGAGTACTGTATGGCCATGCTTCAGGGTTACCTTTCCAACTATTGCTATACCTACGAGACCAAATTAGTAATCAGAAAGTTAGTAAGTAAGCAAGGAACAAACACCAAAAAGTACACTATCTGGAACTTCATCCAGGTCATGAAAAAGTCATAGGAACTAACCTGCTACCACATAAATCACTTTTTTGTGAATATTTACCTTTGCCAGATTAGTCTCTCATCTTGGACGTAACACAGCATCAACACTCTCTAATACTGATGATCAACTATCCAGACCATTCAGAGAGTATATAATAAAACCAATTACATGGTTTTTTGTTTGTTTTGCACTTTTGCTTCCTGGAGACAATACCCAGCTCATTTAATGAGATATCCTAAATTTCATCTACCAAAACACTACTACTTTTTTTCTTTTTTGAGACAGGATCTCACTCTGTCAGCCAGACTGGAGTGCAGTGGTACGAACATAGCTCACTTCAGCCTTGGTCTCTGTGGCTCAAGCGATCCTCCTCCCACCTCAGCTTCCTGAGTAGCTGAGAACACAGGTGCACACCATGTCGCCTAGGCTGGTCTGAAACTCCTGGGCTCAAGTGGTCCTCCTGCCTCCGCCTCCCAAAGTGCCGAGATTACAGGTATGATTCACCACACTCAGCCCCAAAACACTTCTTAAGGTAGTTTCTGAGAGAAAAAAGACATGGTAAGTATGTCTCCCCCACTATTAGCCTCAGCCACATAGCGCTGACCATTCTGACTGATGAGAACGCAATCCTAGCCAACGCTGAGGAAACTGAAAAAGGAGAAAACATGGAAAATGGTTCAATGTTGAGTTATTGCTAAGAATGAGGGGATTTAGGGCGCTTAGAATTGAAGTCAGGAATACCTAAGCAAATTACTTACCTCTATATAACTAGTCTCTAAGCCTCAGTTTCTTCATCTGTGTAATTGGAATAATAGTACCCACCTCACACAGTTGTGAGGAATAAATAAAACAATGCAAGTAAAAAACAGGAAAAGTAAATGACTTTTCCTGGATCAGCTGGGCAGAACAAAATATTTACATAAATCATTATAGTAGTAAGGTGTATTTTTTTTCATTAAACAAAAATAAATTGTTAAAAAAGAAATGTATCACTAGGTCAGTAAATCAAAATTCTTACTTTTTCACCAAAATTGGGTGATGAAGTGGTGGTGTCCTTCCTCTGAGACGTCTCTTTTTTCCCACAGGATTCTTTGCTGGACATCCTGAAAAGCTAACATAAACATTAAAAATACAGTATTTTTTTTGCAAGAAAAAACAAAATAGAAATTTGTCTTCTTTCAGTTATATAAAGATTGCAGTTTTACAAAATGATCACTTTTTTTTTTTTTTTTTTTTGAGATGCAGTCTCGCTCTGTCGCTCAGGCTGAAGTGCAGTGGCATGATCTCCGCTCACCGAAACCTCTGCCTACCAGGTTCAAGCAATTCTCCTGCCTCAGTCTCCTGAGTAGCTGAGATTACAGGCATGTGCCCCATGCCCTTATAATTTTTGTATTTTTAGTAGAGACGGGGTTTCACCATGTTGGTCAGACTGGTCTCAACCTCCCGACCTTGTGATCCGCCCACCTCCCAAAGTGCTGGGATTACCGGTGTGAGCCACCGCTCCCAGCACTATGATTACTATTTTTTAACCATTCCCAAGATGACAAGATTCTCTCACTGTTCCACTTTTCTTCACTTACATTCTCCTTCAAAATTACCCATTCCTCTCCTTCAGCTTCATCTATCACCTTTCCAGGAAGGAGTCTCAAACCATACCTTGATCCCTGACTTCTCACATAAGCATCAGATCACCATTTTCAGCTGACTCCAGGTTGCTATATTCTGCACTACCTACATTTCAAAGCCAATTAGTCATAAGTTTCATTTTCCCGAAACACCTTCAGTCATTCATTGAACAAGACTTTGGCAAATCACACACTTTTTTTGAGTCTTGGTGTCATTACTCATAAAATAGATAACCCATCCCACCGGGTTTTTGAGGTACTCAAACAATGGATGTAAAATATATCTTGCAGCTGGGCACCTTGGCTCACTGTAATCCCAACACTTTGAGAGGCCGAGACAGGCAGATCAACTGAGGTCAGGAGTTCAACACCAGCGTGGCCAACAGCATGAAACCTCATCTTTACTAAAAATACAAAATTAGCCAGGTGTGGTGGTGCACGCCTGTAATCAGAGGCTGAGGGAGGTGAATCGCTTGAACCTGGGAGGCGGAGGTTGTAGTGAGTCGAGATCGCACCACTGCACTCCAGCCTGGGTGACAAGTGCAAAACTCCATCTCAAAAATAAAAAAAGCATTAAAAAATATATATACATATACATCTTGCATAAGTTGGTACACAGTAAGGTCTACATATATACTTGCTTGTATGGTTGTCTTTCTACTAGACCCTGAGCTCCTTGAGTATGCTGTACCAAAAACTTAGGTGCTCATAAATGCCTACTGAGTGAATAAATGAGTGAATTCTTCTTCCTTGTAATATTAACTCTTTCATTCTGAACCACTTCCAAATCGCTCACTGTAGTTCCTCTGTTCACTTCCCATCCCAGTCTCATTTTTCCAGCCCTGCTGTGGACCAAGTAAATACTGTCAGTGGATGACAGTATTGTGGGCTATCCCAGAAAAACACTTATGTTTATTCGGACAAATGTTTTATATTTGTACTAGTGTGAAACTCCTATCGATTTTATGCAAATCAAAACATAAACTAAATGAGGGGAGACTTCCTGTGCTGGCCAGTCTCCTGCTGGATGGCTCCTGATGATTCCTGATGCTTGGTAATCACACACTTACGTAATCCCCTACCACAATGAATAGGGGTGACCTGTGTAACCAATAAGATACTGCTACACAGTAGTATGTGGCTAAATCATATAAGACATCATGACTTCTACCTTGTCCTGTCTTGGACTGCTCACTCTAGGGAAAGCCAGAGTGTCATGAGGACACTCAAACAGCCCATGGAAAGGCTCGCAAGAGAAGAACTACTGGCCTCTTGCCAACAACCAGAACCAACTAAGGCCAGGCACATGAGTGCGCTACCTTTGAAGCTGATGATCCTGCACCCCTAATCAACTGACATGACAGCAGCCCTGGCACATACCTTCACTGCAACCTCATGAGACCTAAAGCCAGATCAACCCAGAAAGTCGTTTCTGAGTTCCTGACCCACAGAAACTGTGGAGTAATAAATGTTTACTGTTATTTTAAGCTACTATGTTTTGGTATAACTTATGCAGCAGCAATAGATGAATAACATTTTTTTTTAATTCTTCAAACATTGAAGATTCCTTCTTCAGGATGTCTTACAAGCAGAGACCATGTTTAGAAATTCTTACAAAAATTCCCACAGAATCCACATACCAAAATCTAACCCTTTTAATCTGGTTTCCCGCTGGTATTAAATGACATTAACATACTGAATCCAGCTTTCAGTTAACCATCTAGTCATTTAGAAATAAAAAATCATCATGAACGACAGTTAAAAAAAAAAAAAAGAAAGAAATGAGAACAAGAATTATTGGATGATGCACAGATATAGTTAGCATATCCGTAAGTTATAGTCAGTGTTATCCCGTTTTTAATTGACTGTTGAGCCATGAGTCAACTATACATTCAGGAATACTAGATAAAAGCTGTGCGGGAAGATCAGTAAAAGGGATTTAGGCCTATAACTCACAGAAGCTTCACTGGGATCATCTGTTCCCACTAAACCGGGGAGAGGTTAAACGCGCACACACACACCCCCTCCATTATATATACTTCTTAAACTACAGGGGGAGGAGTTAACTTCCAGTTAGTGCTTCCAAGTGCCAAATAATGATGCTATCTCTTCCCCGGGGTTCTGAAACAAGTAGGTAACAAACAGACCAAGAAGACTGGCGTTTATCAACTTCATTAACTAAGAAAAGCTAACTGCAAGCGCGCGTCTTGTTCTTGAGACTAAATTGGGCTCCCTCTCCTGCCCTGCTGCCTAGAAGGTTCGGACCAAACCCAAGCAGGGAAGCCAGAAAGTTCACGTTTTTCTCCTTCCTATCCCAGTGGATTTATCGGGGGGACAGAAGAAAGGAACGAGACAGCCTCGAATGTCAAGTAGGCACTAAGAGTGAAGCAGAGAGAAGTATGGGGGACAGGGGACTCACTAGCATATGCTTTGGGGATCTGAGACGCATCAAAATCAAATGACCCGAAGCTCTACCCACTCAGAGCTCTGGTTACTAAAAGCCTGAAAACAAGGCAAAATAGAGCAAAACAATTAATTTCTATCCACTGGTCACACCGCAGAACTGCTGATATTGGCAACAGGAAGACTAAAGCAAAAATAAAAACAAAGGAAAAGAGCGTTCAGGTCACGGTGTAGATGAGGGTGCGAAATGAAAAACAGACCCTAACTCCAAGTCAGCTGGAAGGACAGGCAAGTTCGTCAGCTGCTAGGAAACCGCCGCGGCCCGCGGGCTCCGCACGAACCGACCAGATCCCAACACTGGGCAAGGGGCAGCCCCGGAGGCAAGCCGGGCTGAGTCCACGGAGCTGAGTCGTCCCCGGATCCGCCCACAGAGTTGCCCCGCCCAGGTCCGGGTGACTCCTGAGTGCCCAGCCCGGCCGGCCGCCCGCCGGCCAGCATACTTGGGGCGGGGGACGAGCGGGAACCTGCCCAGCAAAACGTCAACGCACGCTCCCCCCCAGTTCCTACCTTACCAGCGCCGGCTGCAGTGGCGACTCCGAAGCCCCAGGCCAAAGGAGAGGGACCCCCACCCCCCGACACACCCCGCCCCACCAACTGTATGCCCGCTGGGAAACGTAGTTCTGTGCCTGGATCCAGACTGCCTACCCACCGCTCCGCTGCTTTTGCTTAGATTTGCATTTACTTCCTGCAAGGCTTGCTCGCCGGCCCCGCCCCAGGCTGCGCAGTGTACCCTGGGTGCTGTAGTCTTTGTTCGGTCTGGTGGTTGGCCGGTGGGAAGGAGACGCACCGTAGAAACTGAACCCTCTTACCCAATTGGACGCCGTCCCCAGTACGCTTCTGCGCAGTTTGTGGTGGCGTGGTAACGCCTCGGGGAAAGGGAAGCGGACGGCATCTGGAGTCGCAGCCTGTGGCTATTTTCTACTAACAGGATTTGGTCACTGGTTCTTCATCTTTTGTCTGTTGCACGCATCCCGCCCTCCCCACTTGCTTCCCTACTCCTTGGATCCAGCCCAGTGGGCACTCACGTCAGTTCTCTGACCCCGCCGTGAGCCCCGCTCCGGGTCCCCGGGCGGGCCTGGCACGGAGGCGGTAACTATGGAGAATATGGCGGAGGAGGAGCTGCTGCCCCTGGAGAAGGAGGAGGTGGAGGTGGCCCAGGTCCAGGTCCAGGTCCCGACCCCGGCCCGGGACTCGGCTGGGGTCCCAGCTCCGGCCCCGGATTCGGCTCTGGACTCGGCTCCGACTCCGGCCTCGGCTCCAGCCCCAGCCCCTGCCCTGGCCCAGGCTCCGGCCCTGTCCCCGTCCCTAGCCTCTGCCCCTGAGGAGGCTAAAAGCAGTAAGTGCAGGAGGCCCAGATCTTTCTGCCGCAGAAAAGAGAAAGTGCGCCTTGCTGGGAAGTAGGGGAGACCCTTCTTCACCGGGATGGTTTTTATGGGGCAAGGCAGGTTTAGGGAAATGGAGGGGAGGGAAGAGAGGCCCGTGTAGCGGCTAAAACAAGGGTACAGAGTGGGAGACGGCATCTTCATAAGCCACGAGGATGTCACGGTGAGGGATATGCGGAGGGCAGGAATGCTGCAGATAGAAGGAAATAATGAGGTTAAGGGCTTTTTCGTAAAAGGGAATGTTTTTAAGGTACAAAAATAGGAAGTTACACATGATTTGGTAGTTTCCCACAGTCCAGACTACCGTGGTTAACTAGGTTCTTTGAAATGTGACATAGTAACCGAGGCAACCTGTTTACGGTAGTAGATCCTAGCTGCCAACATTTATAAACCATTACTGTCAACTAGCTTTTCTGCTTCGACATACACAAGGAGATGAGTTTTTCTCATTTCAGTTTTTTTCCCCCTATGGGCAGCTTGCTTCCGAAGAGATTTTGAGGCTGAGTAGTAGTTTAGAAAAGAATCGACTAAATTTATGGATGTTTTCACCCATACATAAATACCAATTGAGTTTTGTACTCCATTCCATCAGAAATAGACTGTTGAGAATTAATGGCCCATATTATTGTGCTGCTCAATGTGCCTGCATGTTTTCTAAGTGGTGGTTTATTGGACCATATAGGAATTTAAAAGATTGATGAGTAACACTTTCTTAAGGATCTTCTAACATTTTAAAATGTAAGGTCTAAGAAAAACTTAATGTAAGTTCTTTTAACATTTAGTTTGTGGTCATAAATTGACCTTTATGTGCTTTCTGAATTGGAATTTAAAATAATCTTTAATTCATTATTTTTCCTACTTCTAGGCCAGTTTTGAGTTTAATATTTATAAAACATTGGATATAGATAGGATTATTTTGCAGTTTTGAAACAACATACAAATTGTTATAGATTTCAGAGTAGGTCTAATCACAGGAAAGAAAAGCCAGGATGCTTGAGGTAAGCCCCTTCTCATCATATAAGATCAGAGCTTGTAGGTACAAAATAAAGCCAGTTGTTTCTTCAACTACAGTGGGTAGGGATGGGGAAGGCATGGGGAGCTGAGGGGCTTCTACTCTCCTAAGTAGCCTCCTACCTCACTTCCAGGTTGTATTTGTTTATATTAGTCAGAAGTGGTTCAGCAGCTTTAGGAAATGCATGCATTCTCCACCTCCCCACCATCAAAAATATGTTAAACATAGTAAAGACTTAATCTGTATATTCCAAAATTTACAAATATGTAATTTGAGGAATGCATACCATATGGGAAACTGAAAATGCATTAGTAGGACAAATACGTAATGATTGAGAAGTCTGAAATGCATTTGAACTAATACATATATTAATCACATTTTAAAAATTATTTTTAGTTGGTCTAATTAGTCCTTTGAAATCAGTCATAACTAGGTAAGATAAAGATAACCTATCTGAAATAGAATTGAAAATTGAGGAAAAAGTAATACAAGTTGTAAAAGACCCTCCTTGCATGTTGGAGACATCTAATTTAACAAGAGGTTTGCCTGTTGACTTCTGGATTAATAGTGTGTTACAAAAAGCAGATTGAGTATTTTGCATACAGATCGTCTGATACGTATTATCTTAAACCAGAAGGTGATTTCAGAAATGTTTGTAGGCATATCATGAATGTTTAGATGTTCAAGAGTTTCTTCGGTAGTGGACCACAGGATTTTTAGTTTTCTAACTTAACCAAACTCCTTTCCCTTATTTTGTGTTATTTAATAGAATAATTTCAATAGGCACGTCTTTATTGATTGCTGTTTATCTTGTTTCACATACACAGATCTTTGAACTCTGGAACCGAAAGCCTTTATGGTTACAAATTAGATAGGTTAGTTTGTACACACGGGTTCATTTCTGGAATGTTACTGTCTGACCTAGCAAAAGATTTTTATGAAAGATGAAAAAGTTTTACCTGTTTATAGAAATTATATCTCATTATAACTCATTTGACCAGTATCTAATATAAAAAATTAACCAATATTGTTTGTTGCTCCTTTAAAAATAAAGTGAATAACCAGGCACAAGCCTATACCCCCAGATACTCAGGAGGCTGAGGCAGGAGTATTGCTTGAGCCCAAGAGTTTGAGGCTGCAGTGAGCTATGATTGAGCCACTACATTCCATGGAGGCTGGGTGACAGAGCAAGACACCATCTCTAAATAATAATATAAAAAATTACCTTTTAATAAATTTGAGCAGGAATGTCTGATAGTGCTAAATTGGATTCCAAAATTATTGACACAGTGTACTACTGCATCCAAAAAGTCTTAACGATTTTTTTAACTTCTTGTTTAACAAACTTTAGTGCCGCCTATCTGCAAGTTACTGCATTAGGCACTTGGCCATCAGAAAGATGAGCAAGGAATAGGCCTTGTCTTCCTGTTGCTTATTTGTGGGGAAAGTGAACAAGGACACAAATTATACAAATGGGTAAACGAACTGATAGTGAAGCTCAGAGAGAAGTAGGCAAGAAGATGCTAATATCAAGAATTGAATTTTAAAGTCTCAAGGTTTTAAATTGTATAACCTAATAACATAATGTTAGAGGGCCCTGTGGTTTATCCCACCATCTCCTGTCTCTTTGGGCTCTTTACCTATCAGTTTCTCCTAATCTTAATATATATTCAGTCCCCACTTTGTAATTGTTCCTTTCCCTTGGAATGCACATATATTCAGGTTCCCTGTACTTAAAAAAAGCAAGTTACAGTCTCATTCATTTCCTTTTTTATACCATCAAACTTCTCAAAAAAAGAAAAACCTAATTTTCTGTATTTTATTTCCCCTTCCAATTCTGTTTCTACTCCGAAACGCCTCACTGAACCTGCTTTTTCAAAGGTCACCAGACTTGCTTTCTTGATCTCTACAACTGTTTGTGATACTTTGTTGAATGTTTTGTGTTTATAGACTCTTCTCCCTTGGCTTCTGCATTATCTTGACTCCCCTTACCATTTATTCTTTCTGAATCTACTTTTCTGATTCCTTCTACTTAATTTTTCTTATAAATATCTACATCTCTCATACCTCACTACCAGATTTTATCTATGTATAATAATCAGTAGCGGGTTCAGCAACATTGAGAAATGTATCCCCTACCCACTCCAATCAGAACATGTTAAACATATTTTAGACTTATGCATGTTATTTCCAAATTTACAAGCATTTTAATTTGAAGAGTGTGTAATGCTTGAGAAACCTGAAAGTGCATTAGTGGGACAAATATGTAATGATTGAGAAATCTGAAATGCATTAGAATTAAAATATAAATCATGTTTTAAAATTAATTTTACATAGCTTAGTTGTTTGAAATCAGTCATAACTGGGTAAGACTGGGTCGTGGCTTTTTCTCCTATTTTTCACACTTTTTTTCTTAGGCTTTCTTATTTATTCTCATAGTTTCACCTAACATGTTACTTACGATTTGTATCTCCAGAATCCCTCCTGAGCTCCAAAAACAAATCACCAGCTGCCTATTGTACATTATTACTGGAATACTGTTCCAGTAGTACATCGAACACACTATGTCAAAAACTACATTTTCCTTTCTCTTTTCCTCTTCCTTTCTGCCAAAAGAGTTTCTTCTATCTTGTTTGCGTAATAGTACCATTATTCTCAACCACACAAACTCAAAATCTTAGAATCATCTTTGATTTTATCCTTCACCTTTACTTCTCATATCCCAAGTTCTGTTACTGTTTTTTTTTTCTTTTTTAAGCTTTTATTCTGTTTCTTCCCATTGCTGATTTTCTCTGTTACTGATCTTTGGTGTTACTGGCAGAGAAAACCTCCTGAAACTCATTCAGATTGTATAATTCACTTCCTCAAAAACCTGCAGAGACTTACCATTACCTGAAGAATAAAGTTCAAACTAACTTGCGTAGAATTTATGCTTTCCTTGGTCTGTACTGCATCTTTGGCTGCACATATTTCTACTGACTCCATCCCCCCAAATATACCACATTCCAACCAAGGGTAGGGTGGCATGGTTGTATATTTTATACCACATGCATTTGCTCATGAGGTTACTTCAGTTTATGAGGCCAGTTAGCAAATCTCTACTTACTGAAATTCTATTCGTACCTGAAGTCTCAGTCAAGTGGCACTTCAGTAAAGACATTCTCAGAGTTACTTGTTAAAATTAATTATTCCTTCTTCTGTATGCCTGCATCATATTACATCTAGTGTTCATTTCATCCTATCTCATATGATAGAAGTTGACATATTGCCTTTTCCCACCTGATTGAAAGTTCTTTGAAGATAGAAAACATGGCTTACGTTTCCTTCTTCAGTATTTTGCATAGGAGAGAAACATTTTTCATAGAATTATTTTGACTAATTAGATAAAATTTTCAAACTAAATTTATGCAATGGGGTTTCCCCCCAACTTTTCATTCTGAAGCACACTTGTTATTTTATAAACCAAGTTGTGGCAGTATTCCCCATCTAGGTCCATAACACTGTGTTATAGGAAATAAACTTCTATACGACGTGATCAATAAAAATGGAACTAGAATACAAACTGTTAAAGCATAATCTTCTCTTTTTTTTTTTTTTTTCCAGAGAGACACATCTCAATTCAAAGGCAGCTTGCTGATCTAGAGAAGTTAGCTTTTGTAACTGAAGGAAATTTTGACTCTACCAGCTCATTGAACTCAGATAATCTTGATGCAGGTATTTCCATGTTTGGGTTTTTTTTTTTTTTTTTCATAATTTCTAATAATTTATCATCTTTGCATTCATGAAAACAAGTTTGATAAGAGTAGACTTGTTTATTCTTACTAAACTAGAACAGTAGTAAAATACAGTTTTTTATTTAGGAAATTGGCAGCCGCTTATGTGCAGAGTTGCTATGGAAATAAGTTATTTTACAACTCCTTAAGACAATTACAGTTTCACAGATGTCTAAGGGCTGTCTATTCAGCAAGTTAGGAATTGCATTTGGCTACAAGTAACAGAGGTCCCAAAAAACAGTGTCTTAAAAGGTTTATATTCTGCCAGGTAAATGAAGTCCCAAGATAGGCAATTTAGGGCTCGTGCGAGAGTCCTGCGTTATCGGTGCCCCACACTGCTCTCTTTCTGCTCTACTCTCCTCAGTGCTTGGTTTGCATCCTCAAGATCACTGCTTGGTTTTTTTGAAGTAGGCAGTGTAAAAATAAAAATTGTACATATACTGTATTATACTAGATGTGAAAGATATTTGTTGGGTTAAAAATTATTAATATGAGCTGAGAGGTATGATAAGAAAAAAAAGAAAACAATTACTAAATGTGTTGTTATTGATTCTTGCTGTATATTTTATTGCTTTAAGCCTGAATTTGAAATTTAATTCTTTCATCTATACTATCAAAGTTTTTGAGATACATTATATTTCTAATTAGACATTTTGATGATACATAATCTTTTTGAGAATATGTTAATAAACAAGGAAGAACTTGTAAATTCAGTAATGGATACGGTGACTGTAACTATGCGCCCAGTCTCAGAACAGCAGTTATATCAGATCCCATCTATTCCTTCCACTTCCTTCTTCCATTTTTCTAACTCCACATATTAACTATTTTTGTTGCTGCCAGTTTAGTAGAGGAATACCACAGCAGATACTTTTGCTCTTTGTCCAATTCCTGTCCTTTTGGGAGTGTAACTGCTGTCCTTTCAGCTGTCCAAAATACAGAGTGATGCTCTCAGTGGCAGAAAATTTGGCCAGAAGGGTATCATACAGTTTATCACTTCTTCAACCTCTTTGTTCCCAGTAACAACAAACACATCAGCTAGCCACAGAGAGGAAAATTTTAGGGTGAAAAAACAACCACTGATCATGTGCTACAACAATTACTGTGAACTATCTCCTGGGTCAAGAGTAATGACTTCTCCCTGAAGTTAACAAAGACTTTAAGAAGTAGGCAGGGGAGACCCCATTAACCTCTTTGTAGCTGAATCCAGGCATTAATAACTAGAATATTCTGTGATTTACTGATTCTTTTTTCTTTTTAAGGCAACAGACAGGCTTGTCCATTGTGCCCTAAGGAAAAATTCAGAGCTTGTAATAGCCATAAGCTTCGTCGTCACCTCCAGAATTTACACTGGAAAGTCTCAGTTGAATTTGAAGGTTAGTATTTTTGTGCTGGCAAAGAAGTAATATATATGAAATTCAACATTTATTACCAGTTTTGGCATTTTATCATGACTATAATCAAATATTTTCAGTTTAAAATGTGAGGGGTTTAATGCCCTCATTTCTAATGTATTTAATAAAACACCATATAGCTTTATAGGCAGTAGAGATCTATATGACACAGTTTAGTTCAGCAAACATTTATTATGCATCTGTTGTATACTGAGTACTCTGGCCCTGGGAGTCCATTTTGCTTCTTGAACAATGTTTTAATAAGTTTTCCTTTTATTTTACACATATTTTGGAAGGTATAGTACATAGTAAAACAAGAAAATAAAATAATTTGTATGAATATTGGAAAATACAAGATAATATCTCTTTTTCTGCTGATGGCTTAAAAAAATCTACTAGAGTTAAGAGAATTCAGAATGGTGGTGGGATACAAGATAATTCAGAAATCTTAGCCATTTTCTACTTCAGATAAATGGAAACAGAAACAAATATATCAGTTATATCATGATAAAAATGACACAATTTGAGGGAATAAGTTCAACAAGATGATTCATCATGAAAAGAATAAAATCAAAGGACAGAAAATGAGAACTTTTCAAGTTAAAGGGCTTCCTAAGTGAATTATGTGAATTATTATAGCATTTTTGGGAAAAGATCTGACAACATCTTTTAAAATTAAAAATACATATATCCATCCACCACTCAGTTCCTCTGCTAGGAGTGCCTTAGAAGTAAAAGAATTGAGGTTGGACACAGTGGCTCATACCTATAATCTCAGCACTTTGCGAGGCTGAGGCGGGAAGATCACTTGAGGCCATAAGTTCAAGACCAGCCTGAGCAACACAGTAAGACCCTGTCTCTATAAAAAGTAAAAAAATTAGCCAGGTGAGGTGGCCTGTGCCTGTAGTCGCAACTGCTAGAGAGGCTCAGGTGGTAGGGTTGCTTGAATCCAGAAGCTTGAGTCTGCAGTGCCATAATTGTGCCACTGTACTCCAGCCTGGGCAACAGAGTGAAACACTGTTTCTTAACAAAAAAAAAAAGATGAAGAAGTAAAAGGATCAACAGGCACGGATAAATGTAGAAGGATATTCATTACAATATTAGTAACAAAAACTTAGAATTAAAAGAGATGATTGAATAAATTATGGGTACATACCATGAAATATTATGTAACCATTGAAATGAGTATATTAGATATATACCAGGTAACTTGGAAGTATTTCCATGGTCAACTACTAATGAAAACAGCAATATATAGGGAAGGTGTTATAATATTCCATTTGGATAAAAACAAAAAGTCCCACCCTCAAAAGAAACCTAAGTATCAATCTTAAACATACGTTTATATTTGTGCATGATTATGTGAGCACAGAAATTGTAAAGTATGGTTGGAGTGTCAACCAGCCTTGATAAAGCAGCTAGTAAGAGACACCCAGAAAAGAAGTCAGAACTATGCTGGAACTATTTTGTTAGTAGTACTGCTAAAAAGATTATCACTAGTTATTTAGGGAAAGGGGAATTAGATACTAATTTAGGGGCCATCCTGTCTTTTAAGTTTAATTCTATATAAGAATGTATGATAAACCGGCCGGGCACGGTGGCTCAAGCCTGTAATCCCAGCACTTTGGGAGGCCAAGACGGGCGGATCACAAGGTCAGGAGATCGAGACCATCCTGGCTAATGCGGTGAAACCCCGTCTCTACTAAAAAATACAAAAAACTAGCCGGGCGAGGTGACGGGCGCCTGTAGTCCCAGCTACTCGGGAGGCTGAGGCAGGAGAATGGCGTAAACCCAGGAGGCGAGGCTTGCAGTGAGCTGAGATCCAGCCACTGCACTCCAGCCTGGGCGACAGAGCGAGACTCTGTCTCAAAAAAGAAAATAAAGAATGTATGATAAACCATACTGACTTCTTATGAAAAAAAAAGCTCTCATTTCAATTAAAAGGATCTCTTTCATATTCTTTACTTAGATTATTGTGTTTTTTGTTTGTTTGTTTTTTGTGGGGTTTTTTTGAGATGGAGTCTCGCTCTGTTGCCCAGACTGGAGTGCAGTGGTGCAATCTCGACTCACCGCTACCTCCGCCTCCCGGGTTCAAGCGATTCTCCTGCCTCAGCCTCCTGAGTAGCTGGGATTACAGGCATGTGTCACCACACCCGGCTAATTTTTGTATATTTAGTAGAGACAGGGTTTCACCATGTTGGTCAGGCTGGTCTCAAACTCCTGACCTTGTGATCTGCCCACCCCAGCCCCCCAAAGTGCTGGGTTTACAGGCACGAGCCACCGCCCGCGGCCTCACTTAGGTCATTGTTTAGCCTTTAGGTTTGGTCTCCCTCCTCCCAAGTTTTTCTCTTTTCTTAAATATTTTCTTGTATTTCTTTACTTACTTATGGATGTGGTTCTCTCATGTACATTAGGCTGTTGGGTTCTTTCACATGGTATTGATCTGGTAGATGGTGAAGATATGATAGTTTTTTGTCTCGGTGAGCAGGTTTCAAAGTGGTTGACAAATAATTGAAGGTAGAAACAACAAGATCTGCTGAAGGAATGGATGTGAGGTGTGAGAGAACGAGCCAAGAATGCTTGGGTTTGGGACTTGAGCAAGTAGAGAAATGGAGTTGGCCTTTACTGAGCTGGAGAAGAGTGCATTAGGATCAAGTGTGGAAAAGAAGGCCAGAACCAGAAATTGTGGAATTTAAAGGGTGGGATGCATCTAAGTGGAGATGTCAGGTAGCCCATAGGTTATATGAATGTGGAGTTCAGGAAGACTGTGGGGCAAAAGATACACATTTGGGAGTTGCCAGAAGGCAGATGATATTTAAAGCCATAAGATCAGATAAGTAACTAAAAGTACATATTGATGGAAAAAAGAAGTCATCCAGGACTAAATCTTGGAGCACTTCAGCATATACAAGTAAGAAATGATCTGATCTGAGGTATAAGAAAAAAGGCGTTAGAGATGACTTACAGGCTTTGAGTTAAGAGCAACTGTAAGGCATTATCATTTTAAAAAAGTAAAGAGACCTGATGTGGGATAAATTATCAGTTTAGTCTTGACAAGTAGGTTTTGAGATGCTGACTAGATAATCAGTTACATATCCTTAATAGGCAATTGGAAATAGGGATCTGGCTCTTAGGAGTGAGTTAGTAACTAGAGCTATAATTTGGGATTCCTTTAATTGGAATCGTGAAAGGAGCTTAAGTTGCCAAGGAAATGAGAAAAAAGTCCCTTAGCCACCCAAGCCTATGGAATATCTACAGTTTAGGGCATGAGAGAAGGAAGAGGACCTGTAAAGAAGATGAAGAAGGTTGGGAAGAAAACCAAGATAGTACCATGTCATAGATGAAGAAGGGTCTGTATAATGGCAAATATATCAATAGCATGAGGCAAAGATGAAGCCTAAAAAAAAGTCAAGGTGGCAGAGAATAGGATAAAGCTGAGTCCCAAAGACACTAAACGACTAATCCAAGATAAAACAGGTAGTCATGGTGGAACCAGAATTCAAACCTGGATCTCTCTGTATTTGTGTATATAGATACATATACGTAAATATGTATACATAGACATGTATCTCATGCATAACAATTATATAAACTAAAGCAATCTCATTTGAGTAATTATGACATTACGAATATAAGGTTAGTTCCAATTCTTATAAAATAAAACTTGCTTATAATTTTTGATAATTGAATATTTCATGAATAGTGATATGATAACCAGCTGTTCTTTATTCTAGGTTACAGGATGTGCATCTGTCACTTACCTTGTCGACCAGTGAAACCAAACATTATTGGAGAACAGGTGATCCGATATTAGATTTATTTTTAAATTTAGGCCTTTTTAAAGAAAGCGTAATTTTTACTTACTGTGGAACTAAAATGTGTATGTTCAGCAGTGTAGTTTACTCTAAAATTCTGTGTCTGAGTCCTTTCAGATTATCATAATAGGAAAACTATCATAGTATGAAACTGTCATAGTATGAAAAAAATAATTGCTATATTGAAGTTCTCATTTTATAATTTTTAGTTTAAGTCAGATAAATTGCTCCTTTGTGTTCAAAATGAAAATTAACTCATTTACTAATTTTGGAATGGAAAATTTAGAGAGTAGTTTTTTCTCTTAAAATTTTGGTCATGGAATAGAAGCTTCAATTTCTGTGATTTAGTAAATATCTTAGTGTGTTTTGATTTCATTCATCTTCCCCAAATCCTTCCTTTTAAGTTCAATCTTAGAGAATCAAGAAACTTTCTGAAATCTTAGTAACTTTTTAAAAAATACGTGTGTTTTATTTTTAGGGTAGATTTGATCTAAGGGGAATACAAACTATAAAATTTTTTAGTGACACTATCCTGAATGCATATTCACGTAATGAGTTCTCATTATTAAATTTTATTTTGAGTCACTAAAAGCAGCATAGTGTTGACAAAAAGGAAAATATTCTGAAAGTAGTAGTCAAAACAGATTCTGGTCCATCAACCTAGTCCAAGTACATATTTGAATATGATAATCACAGTACCATAAAGAACCTTGGGTAATGTGCTTGACGGTTTTCTATTTGCTGTAAGGTCCCAAGTAAAAAGGAGTTAGCAGCACTAAGAGTAAAAGGCATCAAAACTAGGAAAGAGCCGTTGAAGCAGTCTTTTTGTTCTCAGCTAAAGGAGAAATTATGAAGTGAGAAATTTTTTACTTAGAAAAGTACGCTTCTAATTATGTCTCTTAACATTCAGTGGGGTACTGGAGCTGGCTCAAATTTTCAGAAATCTTTCAAGCTGGTGGTTTAGTATGGCCACCATTAAAAATTAAGTTATATAAGCCTAAAAATGAATGAGTTATATTAAAAAACAAAGATAACAAATGTTTACCTTTATCATTGTTCTGCTGCATTTTAATATTATCTGTGCACTTACAGTTATTTACATCTATTATGTCTGCTGGGTGGCAGTGCTCTGTAATGGTATAATAATGCACATCTCTTCCTAAATTCACATTCAGTGATGTTACACTGATAGCTTAAAATCTCTGAGAGTTGTAGTTTGAAATTGGCTATGGCAGAGTATTTATGCCACAGAAATCTGCAAATACTACAAATCGGGGCTTTATTTTCCTGGAGAGCCAGTTAATAAACATTTACCAGCACACCACTCCTAATATTATGCCATTTTTAAATGCAACTTATAGAAAATACAATTTTTTCTGATTGGAATGAATGGGAAAAGCTAGGAAATTAAATTTCTGGCCTATTGTAAAGTAAGGTTTAAAAGTATATATAAATACAGGTAAGGAAGTTAAGATCCTTTCAAAGTCACATGGCAAAATTAAAATTATCTTCTATACCATTAAATCCAAGACACTAATATACTTAAATTTGTAAACTTATACTTCTATTTCATTGTCTTAGTAACTTATTTAAATTAAATACTCTGTTTGATAGATATCCAGTAAAATGGGAGCCCATTATCATTGTATCATTTGTTCAGCAACAATCACCAGAAGAACTGATATGCTAGGACATGTTAGGCGCCATATGAATAAAGGAGAGACTAAATCTAGTTATATTGCAGGTAAGTTGAGCAATCTCATTAACATATTAATATGTAAATCCTTAAGTAATGGTCCAGTTATTGTTTTCAGACATCAGGCAGATAAAATAATGCTGATTTAACCAAATGATTTAATTCACTAGTCCATTACATCAGATTTTGGTTTCTTTCTGTAAGGTCTCCAAAAACATTTTAACATTCTCAACATATATATTTAATAAATAGTGTAGAAAAAGTAAGTGACACTCAAGTGACTATAGATATTTTAATGAAAGATTATAGAATTGTCTTCCCAGTGACAGCTTTTATACCCTTAACTGTCATGTATGTATTGTTAGAAAACACTAGGAAAAAAGATACAGTGAAATAAAGACTATTAGTGACATAAAATTATTAATAGCTTGTTACTACTTAGAGATCCCTTCTCAAGAATTAAATTAAGCACTAATGGCCCAAAGCATGTATTATATGTAATGAGTAACTTCTCTATGTCTAGAATGGCACTATGTACCATTCCTTTAAGAACTGAAAAAAAAATAGTCACTGAATTAATTTCTATAAAGCTTGATTTTCTCACAGAACCTAAATTGAGAAAGGCTGATCTTGTGAGATATGTGACATACCTCCTCACTGGGTAAAAAAGGATATGTAACACAGTGCTAGGGAAAGATACTATTATTTGGCATTTTAGAAAGAAATATATAGTTGCCATTTAGTTAACATTCCGACTGTAATGTTATCAAGAAATCCAAACATAAAGGATCTCAACTGTCTGACACAGCACGTATCTCATTTCTTAAATATTTAAAACATATACGCGTATAAACACATCAATATTTCATCAGTTTATAGCGAAACGATTCTAACATATTAAATGTAAAATCGTTTTTTCATTATAGCCATTTCAGTGTAATTTGTGACTTGAAATCATTATGAGAAAATATTCTGAAGTCTCCCATGTTCAGGAAATAGAGTGATTCTTAGTAAGCCTTGCTAGCTAATGGAATGCAACCATATGGAGATACTCATTTTCTAACAATTACACCATAGTAAAATATATGTAGCAAACAATGTAGTGTTTGATGAAACACAAAGGTGTTTTAGGATTTTGTGCTTTCCTAGGGTGATTGTTCTTAGGTATCATAATACAGATGTATTGATGTGCTGGGCAGTCAAGATAGTAAATTAACTTTCATTAATCAGATGTTTAACTGAGTGTTACTCTTTTGCAGAGAGTGCTGAATAAATCAGTTCTTTGGTTTTGGTTTTTTTACATCTGCCCAACCGTTTGCATTAACACAAAATAATATAAAGTTATTTTTCAAAATGTATATTGTTTTAGATGTTTAGAATTATTTTGTATTTTCTTGGAAATCTTTTGTTTGGAATTATTTTGTGTTGCCCTGGAAATCTTTTCTTTTTTCTGTCTTAGCTTCCACTGCTAAACCGCCTAAGGAAATTTTGAAAGAGGCAGACACGGATGTACAAGTTTGTCCCAACTACTCTATACCTCAGAAAACAGATTCCTATTTTAATCCCAAAATGAAACTAAATCGGTAAGCTCAATTGAAAATAGGGTTATGGGATGTTTCAAATTATTGTAAATGTACCTTCTCTTAACCTTTATGTTCTAATATGTTAAAATTTAGAACTAGGTGCAGAATAAAAATCATCTATCTTAACATTTTTCACAGAAGGATTGTTTCTTTTTTTCTATCAAGCCAATGTCTTTATTAGAGAATAAAATAGGTCTAACTTTATATAATTACTGAACAAGCTGGTACTGTTGTGAGCAAGTTTTGTTTATAAATAAATAAATACTTATTAATAAAATCCAACTGGATTCATAGTTTAATTTCACATATTTTTAGTTCTTATAGTATTAAATTAGGAATATGTTTTTAGGTCTCCTTTTGAAATAGTTTGTACAGTAACTAGGAACTTCAATTCACTATTCTTAAATGAAATAAAATCTATGATGGTGAAGCGTGGTAAAGTAAAGTTATTTCAGATTATGATTTCCTTCTAGGCAGCTAATATTCTGTACATTGGCTGCTTTGGCTGAGGAACGAAAACCCTTGGAATGTCTAGATGCTTTTGGAGCCACTGGTAAGTGAGGACACTTTTTTGGAACCACATTTTATTTATTTGATTTTACAGTATCTTTTCTTAGAAAATGTATATGGGCAGTGATGTAAAAAATTAAAGATCCAAGACAAAATTTTTAATTTTTTATTGTGAAAAATTTTAAATATATATTAAAGAGTATAGTGAGTGAGTCCTGTGTATCCATCGCTTACTTCAAAAATTAGTGGTTCATGCTCAGTCGTTTTATCATTGTCCTCATACCTCATGTCATAGTCTTTTGATATCTATTAATTTGAAACAAATAACAGATACATCGTTTCTTCTGTATTTCAGTTGAATCTCTAAAAGGTAAAGATTTTTAAAAAATAAAACCACTATACTATCATACTTTAAAAAATTAAGAATAATTCTTTAATATAAATTGTTTAGATATGCCCAATTATCTCATAATGTGTTTTAAAAATCAAGTCAGAATGCAGACAAAAACTGTATTTCAATTGTTTGATATATCTAAGTCTCTTTTAAATCTATGGTTCCTTCTATCATTTTCTGTGTGTGTGATAATTATTTGTTGAGTTAACATGTCTTTTGACCTATAGAGTTTCCCGCAGTCTAGATTTTTCCTGATTGTATTGTTGTGGTTCATATAACATGTTCTTCTATCTCCTGTATTTTTGTAAATTGGCCATTTGATTAGATTCAAATACAGTTTTTTTGTTTGTTTGTTTTTTGTTTTGCAGTAATACTTGTTTGCTGCAATCAGGCAGCACCTGATGTCTGGTTGTGTCTCTTTTTTGTGTTGTGATGATCACTGCCTAGCCTTTAGACAGTAGAATAAAGTGAAATTTTAAACATTGAGAATATTTTTCTCAAAAGACTTAATAGTAGAGAAAAGAAAATAGAAACAGTAGAAAATTTCTAAAAAGCCTCTGTACCCAATCCAAGTCTTTCTTCATAAAGATTATAGGAATACACTTTTGGGGAGTTTGTGCCAAAAGAGTGAAAGCATTAGTTAGCTCTCCTTCCTAAACTCTCCTCAGGGAAAAGTAGTGGTTAAAAGCATGGACTGCAGAACCAGACTGCCTGAGTTCAAATCCCAGCTTTATCACTTGATAATTGTATGACCACAGGAAATTGTGCCTCAGTTTGCTCATCTATTGAAAGAGGAGACTCCTGCCGCCACCGTGATGATCAGCATTAGTACTGTCTCAGTATAAATGTGGTAAAAGTGATGAGGTGATTTTTCTGATTATTTCCCAAGTCACTTGGATTTGAAATTTGAATCATGTTTTTACTCCTTGTTTTCCTGTTACTCTTCTCATATCTACTCAGCCACCAGGTCTGTTCTAATTTTTCTTTTCCAATATAACTCACATTTTCCATTCCATATCCACCAATTTAATGATTTCATAGCAAGCCTATTTCAGTAGCCTCTATATAGTACCCTTGTTTCCAGTCATTTCTCTATTTCAATTTGTCTTGCCTGTTACTGCTAAACAGCTATTCCTCTGAAGCACCACATTGTTACTTACCAATCAAAAAAGTCATTCATCTTTATTGCCTAGACTCCAAAGTTCTCAGACTACATTTAATATCTTCCATATCTGATCCTAACTTGCTTGTCCAAATTTATTTCTCAGTATTTTTCACCATATCCTTTTACTTTACTCTTTTGAGACAAGAGTTTCGCTCTGTCACCCAGGCTGGAGTGCAGTGGTGCCATCTATCTCGGCTCGCTGCAACCTCTGCCTCCTGGGTTCAAGCACTTCTCCTGCCTCAGTTTCCCAAGTAGCTGAGATTACAGGCGCCTACCACCACGCCTGGTTGATTTTTGTATTTTTAATAGAGACAGGACTTCGCCATGTTGGCCAAGCTGGTCTCAAACTCCTGACCTCAGGTGATCCACTTGCCTCGGCCTCCCAAAGTGCTGGGATTACAGGCGTGAGCCACCGCACCCAGCTCTTTACTCTTTTGTAAATCTGAAGTCATTAAAGCTAATATCTAAGGAATATATTTCCAGCCTCTTCTTTTAATGTGCCTTTGTAAACTTAGATCAGGTCTGGAGCAGTCATTGTGCATGTTTTGCCATTCCTAAAATGAGGATGTGAGAACTTACCTCACAAGCGTGTTGTGAAAATATGAAAAATACATATATATGAAGTCCATAACACATGGTATTTTTCCATTTATGAGACATGTGTGTGGAGAAGATGGTCAGTATTTCCAATACATAAGGGGTTTACTAATCTGTGTTGGCTGGGCTTATGTTGCCATCTCTCATTTTGTAATGAATGTCCCTTATAACTTTAGTAGATAGGGAAAAACTGTGAAAAGGGGCACTTTTGGTCTTCCTTTTAGATGATTAGAAATTTTTCCTAATCATTTGCTTACAAATTTGGTTTTTTGGTTTTGTTCTGTTTTTGAGATACGGTCTTAGCTTTGAGATAGGATCTTGGCACCATGTCGGCTCACTGCAGTCTGGACCTCCTAGGCTTGGGTGATCCTCCCACCTCCGCCTCCAGAAAGTAGCTGGGACCACAAGCGTGCACCACCATGCCCAGCTAATTTTTGTATTTTTCTGTAGAGATAGGGTTTTGCTATGTTGCCCACACTGGTCTCAAACTCCTGGACTCAAGTGATCCACCCGCCTCAGCCTCCCAAAGTGCAGAGATTACATGTGTGAACAATCACACCCGGCCACAATTTTTTTTTTTTTTTTTTTTTTTAATTCACAACAGTGTTATGCAGTGTTTGAAAAGTGTTAGTCTAGAAAAGTTTTTCATATTTTGGTCCATGATGGTAAACTTCACCAGAAGGAATTCCAACTTCCCATCCTCCCTTCAAGCAGAGTAATCCCATTTGTATAAAGTATTCCATGGTCAGAGAAAAAGCAAAAAAGAAAACATTTTCCACTATTCAACAAAATAAGAAAACATACATAGAGATTTTATTATACAAGGATCATAAAAAAGGTTTATAAGAAGTATTAGTGAAAATCTGTTAGACATATTTTTAGTTATAACCTTTCTTGAGAAGCTTTGTAGTAAGAAAGAATAAGATTCATGAAAACATTAAATTTTGAAATAATTTGTTATTTACAAAACTGTGTATTATCATTATACTGTTTTTATTCTTTAAAATTATTATTATTATAAAACTCATTTTCTTCCCCATTTTTCCTAAGGGATAATGGGATTACAGTGGGCAAAACATCTTGGAAATGCAGTCAAAGTTACAATCAATGACTTGAATGAAAACTCTGTGACATTGATTCAGGAAAACTGCCATTTAAACAAATTGAAAGTGGTAGTGGACAGTAAAGAAAAGGAAAAGAGTGATGATATTCTTGAAGAAGGAGAGAAAAATATTGGTAATATTAAGGTGACCAAAATGGATGCCAACGTACTGATGCATTTGAGATCTTTTGATTTCATGTAAGTAGAAAAAGACTTGCCATGTCACTTTCTAAACTTATCTGGAATTTTGAGGATGAGGGGTAGTTAAAAATTAAGACTGTTGTTGTTTATTTATTTAAATGAATGCCATTTTTTGGCCTAAGGTATGCAGTATGAAAATTTTCTAGTGTTTGAAATAAAATGCCTGGGCATGTCACTTTTCCTCTAACCCAAATTTATTTTTACATGTCTCATACATCATACTATCATTTTATTACTTAATTTCAAAACAGAATTGTGTACTTAAAATAGATTTGCAATGTCCTTTTAAATCCATGGAATTTTATAATTAGAAATAATTACAATGGTATAATTTTTGTTACTAATATGACTTTAAAATATATCTATATGCTTTCTGATTTTAGACATCTAGACCCTTTTGGAACATCAGTGAATTATCTAGATTCTGCATTCAGAAATATAAGAAACCTTGGCATAGTGTCAGTGACTTCTACAGATATCAGTTCTTTATATGCCAAGGCACAGCATGTTGCCCGGCGTCACTACGGATGTAACATTGTCCGAACTGAATATTACAAGGAACTTGCAGCCAGAATTGTTGTAGCTGCAGTGGCAAGGTACCAAATCGCCAACGGTGTACTTAGTGTGTTTTAGTATTTGATAAAAAGATAATATTACAAGAAGTACTTATTACTCAAAACATGCACAAAATATAAATCCTGTATTCCTTATCTGTAATACTGGTTTCTAATTTTACATGGTATCTGTTGTAATTTTATTTAAAAGCTTATGCCTGAAATATTCAGTTTACTCTCCAATTAAAATGTTATTGAAATAAAGTAGTAAGAAAGAAAAGATTAAAGTGAAAGTTAATTTCCAGTTTATTTGAGCAATGTAGGATAAAGGATAGCAATATGAAAGGAAAAGCAAAAATTGTTTTGTTTTGTTTTTTTGCCATGTTGCCCAGGATGAAACAAACCTCCTGGCCAACATGGTGAAACCTCGTCTCTACTAAAAATACAAAAATTAGCTGGGCATGGTGGTACACACCTGTAATCGCAGCTACGATTACAGGTTGTGGCACTAGAATCACTTGAACCCAGGAGCCAGATGCTGCAGTGAGCCAAGGTTGCTCCACTGCACTCCAGTCTGGGCAACAGAGTGAGACTCTGCCTCAGAAACAGTCATTTCTTTTATATCCATTCTATTTTATCTTCTTTATTTATATAGTTTGAATAAAATGATGGCTTACAAACTTGATTCTCCAAAATCATCTTACAAAATGGAAAGTTCTCTCCATTTCTCACCAGGATTTCCAAACAGAATTTGAAAACAGTTATTTTTAAAAGGGTGACTTTTTTGGAGCACTTACTATATGCAGATTATGCTGGAATAATATAATATAAACGGACATTGTGAATATAGATAATGGATGACCAGCTAGCTCACTTGCCAGCCCTAATACTAGTTTCAGAGCATTTAAGTGGAAATTTGTACCTCAGCATAAATACAGATTATTAGACTTCATAGACCTTCAGGGTTGTTTCTAATTACCTGAAAACTGATGTTTACTTTATGCATGCTAAGGACTTACTGCACATGCTTAAAAATGTTCATAATGCAATATCAGCAAATTCAGAGTTATATATATATAAAAAAATTAAATTTAGTATGTGACTGCAGAGTACATAAATGGTATATAGTTGAGCTTAATCCAAAAAGTCTATAAAATTAATGGTGGAAAGGAATTTGACTATTCTTTTTTCACTCAATTTTCAGTAGCTAGCATACTATCCTGCATATAGTCATTACTCAATAAACATATACTGTTTTGAAGAAGATTTTATAGGAAATAAAATAGATAGGAAGAAATGTGGTGGTGATGATAAGAAACAAAGTGAAAATGACTGAAAATCAAAAAATATTGCCCTATTGAGAGGATATCATAAGGGAAAGTATCTAGAAACTGAAGACCCTCCCAAGCATCTTTTATTTCCTGTGTTTCAATTTCTGTAAAAGTTATTGTAATGATCTTTTAAAAGCACTGCTAATAAGAATTGAATTTTTCTTGATGTCCCGTAACTTACCCATAGTCTATTGTCCAGGTTAATATTTGTCAGTATAATGGCAAACAAGGGAAAATGATAAGCCCACAAAATAACTTTAAAAAATTTATTATAGAGCTGCAGCCCGATGCAACAAAGGCATAGAAGTACTGTTTGCAGTGGCTCTGGAACATTTTGTGTTGGTAGTTGTGAGAGTTTTGAGGGGACCTACTTCAGCAGATGAAACAGCCAAGAAGATTCAGTACCTGATCCATTGTCAGTGGTGTGAAGAGAGAATTTTTCAGAAGGATGGTAATATGGTAGAAGGTAAATTCAAGTTATATATTATGTTTAATTTATCTATAATCCTCCACTAAATAAGCCTTTATCACATCCCTAATTATACATATTATTGTCCTTTGATTTTAAAGATTACAGTGCTAACTTTGTTATTTCCTATACTGGATTTCCTTTCGTCAACAGACAAGACATTCGTGTGAGTTTATTAAAGTTATTTACTCATGCTGTACAATGTATGCTTTCTAGCTCTGCCTTCTATCAAAACATCTAGAAATAACTTAGTTTCCACTCTCAACTAATTTTAGGAACATAAGTCAGATTACTTTTTTTCCAGACTGTTACAAATCATTAATTTTATAAAAATAATTTTTCATGTTTCTGGCTGTGTATAAAAGCCATCAGTTATAAAATGCATTCAACAAACATTTATTGAGCCTCTACTATATGCCAGGCCTGGGGATGGGAAACAAGGAAAAAGCTGTAGTTTATGCCTTCATAAAGCTGTTTCTGTTTGTTTCAGTTCTGGGACATGGAAACAGTTGCTCATTGTTTTGTGTTAGGTTCTTGGTATTTTTTAATACGAATTTTTGAGTTTAGCACTTACTAGGTTAAGTTGCAGATTTTTTTCTCATTTTGTCAAATTTTTTTTTTAATCTGTCTTGCAGAAGTTTTTTGTTGCTAATTGAATGTTTATGTAGTCTGGATTTTGCCTGTAGTTAGAAAGAGCTTTCCTATTCCTAGACTATTCAAAGTAGATTAGGTTGTATTGAATAGTACACCTTTCCTCCACTGATTTGAAAATACCTTCTTTATGTTATACTAAAATTCCACATGTACTTGAGTTTGTTTCTAGATTTTCTATTCTGTTCCAGTGGTTAGATATTTATTCATACATGTCTATCATACTGTTTTGACTACGGAGGCTTTTCAGTGTCATTTAATATCTGTGATGGCAATCCCTACTCAGAGCTCTTTGTTTTCAGTGTTCCTGTATTGATCTTTTGTTAACCCCTTAATATAAAAGTAAATAATAACCCAGTTGGCATATTATTTTGATCACATTAAATTGGGGAGATACTGTGATTTTTGAAGCTTCCTACAAATATAATATGCTTTTCATTTGTTCAGGTACTTTAGTATAATGTTAACTGGTAGTGGTAATGGAGGGCATTCTGTCATATTCCTTACTTTTGGTTTCCTCTAGTGCTTTCTATGTGTTTTATTTTTTTTCAGATGGAGTATTGCTCTGTTACTCAGGCTGGAGTTCAGTTGTGCAATCTCGGCCCACTGCAACCTCTGCCTCCCAGGCTCAAGTAGTTCTCCTGCCTCAGACTCCCAAGTACCTGGGACTACAGGCGCTACTTTTTGCATTTTTAGTAGAGACAGGGTTTCACCATGTTTGCTGGCTGGTCTGAAACTCCTGACCTCTAGTAATCTGCCCACCTCATCCTCCCAAAGTGCTGGGATTACAGGCATGAGCCTCTGTACCCAACCTCTAGTGCTTTCTGATTCAAGCATAATACTGGCTTTTCATCTGCAATACGTATCATTTATCACATTAAGGAAGAATACTTCATTTCCACTTTTATTGTATTTTGTCAAGATGTTGAATTTTGTCATAATGCATTTTCAGCATCTGTGGAGATGATGATATGGTTTTTCCCTTTAGGCTTACTAATTTGATTAATTGTAATAGAAGGTTCCAATATAGAACCAAACTGGATTTTGTAGAATAAACTATTTTCAGGTAGTATTTTTTTAATATGTTGCTATATTTTATTTGCTAATTTTTAAAGGATTTTTTGTTTCAATATTTATAAATGAGATGGTATATAGTTTTGTAGCATAATTTTAGGTGGGCTTTGATCTATCAGTTTACACTCCCTTCAAAAATAATTTGGAATGCTTCCCTTTTTTCAATTCTTGGAATTGAAAACTGATTTTTTTTAAAAAAACTAGTTCTTAAGAACTAGTTTAACTAGTATTGGAATTATGTGTTCCTTAAAGGTTTAGTAATATTCACCTAGCATTTCTGTTTTATTTACATAGGGTTGAGCTAAGTGTTGTCTAATAATTCCTTTTAATCTCCTTAGTTCCTATGGTCATAGTCCCCTTGTATACTTTCATTTATTTATTCTTTCTTCCATTTTTCTTGACTAGATAAGAGGCTAGTTTATATATTTTATTGTAATTGTTTTCTTTTTTGTGTGTGTGTGACAGAGTCTCATTCTGTCGCCCAGGCTGGAGTGCAGTGGCGCGATCTCGGCTCACTGCAACTTACATCTCCCGGGTTCAAGCAGTTTTCCTGCCTCAGCTTCCCAAGTAGCTGTGACTACAGGCACATGGCACCATGCCCGGCTAATTTTTTCTATTTTAGTAGACGGGATTTCACCATGTTGCCCAGGCTGGTCGCGAACTCCTGAGGTTAGGCAATCCACCCGCCTTGGCCTCCCAAAGCGCTAGGATTACAAGCGTGAGCCACCACACCCAGCCTGTTTATTTTCCTTAATTAATGTCTACTTTTAGTAGTAAATATGTATATACTTCTGTAATTTGGATTTATCAGTTTTAAGTAATATCCTTTGGCTCCTTGATACCACAAATGATAATTAGCTTCCTGTTTTCCATTTTTCCCTTCCTAATTTTTGTTTGTTGTACCATCTCTATGTTATTAGAATGTGTAACACTTAACATTCTGTTTTGCTAGATTAATCTCTACATATAAAAATATTCTGTGTATGTCATCATTCTTTTTGCCATAATTTCTATAGTCATCTCTTATTTGGTTAAATTTAACTTTCTCAGTTTACTCAATAGAGCTCATGAGAAAAATACTACTTTGTTTCCTTCATGTTCAAAGCTTTTCTTTCCCCAAAGTATGTCCAATAGCCTGTATACTTAAAGAGTCTAAAGAATTTGAGTGCCTTATAGAAGTTCTTGTAATTTTTCCTTCTTATATATGTGACATTAATCAAACATTTTAAAGAATATTTGACTTGATAAGTGATAACTATAAAGCAATGATTTGTTTTTGCATTTTATTTGGAATCATACAGAACTTAGAATAAACAAGTATGTCCTACAAAGAAGTCATCTCATTCAGAATTTTTATCAATTTGTAATACACAGTTTAAAAAGTCAAATAGCTGGGTGCAGTGGCTCACGCCTGTAATCCCAGCACTTTGGGAGGCTGGGGTGGACGGACCACCTGAGGTCAGGAGTTCGAAACTGGCCAACATGGTGAAACCCTGTGTCTACTAAAAGTACAAAAATTAGCTGGGCATGGTGGCAGGCACCTGTAATTCCGGCTACTCAGGAGGCTGAGGCAGGAGAATCACCACTTGAACCCAGGAGGCAGAGGTTGCAGTGAGCTGAGATCATGCTACTGCACTCCAGCCTGGGTGACAGAGCAAGACTGCATCTCAAAAAAAGAAAGAAAAGTCAAATAGTTCCATAAGTCTTATTAATAAAAATAATAATCTCTGCCTGACGTCCTGAACAGTTAAAATCTCACAGTTGTTTCTTCTAATGCTTACGTTCGTATTTCTAAATAACATGTTTATAATGCATCTAACTTCCTTCCATGGAAAAAGAGTATTTGGCTTTTTAAACCAGTCCAGTCACATGCATGCTTTTCCCCTCTCCACTTTGGACTACATCAATATTTAGTGTTTGCGTTTTTATAAATAGATAAATATTGTTTGCAAATTTTATTTGCTGTCTATTGCTGTGTAACAAATCACTCCAAAATTATTGGCTTTAAACAACATTTACTATCCCATAGTTTCTATGAGTCAAGAATCTAGGCATGGCTTAGCTGGATCCACTAGCTTGGGGTCTCTCACAAGGCCACAGATCAAGGTGTTGGTCAGTGGTGTGTGCCCTTAGTCCCAGCTACTTGGGAGGCTGAGGCAGGAGGATCACTTGAACCCAGTAGTTCAGGCTGCAGTGAGCTATGGTTATACCACTGCACTCCAGCCTAGGTGACAGACCAAGATGCCATCTCTTAAAAAAAAAAAAAAAAAGCAAGTCAGAAGAACCAGAGAGTGAGTGAGTGCCAGCAAGATAGAATAGGTCTTTTGTAACCTAATCTCAAAGTAATACTCCATTGCTTTTGCCATATTCTAGTTGTTAGAAATTTGTCTCTAAAACCAGTGCCTACTCAGGGGAAGGGTATTACATAAGGGTATGAATACCAAGAGGCAGGGATTATTGCTGATCATTTTGGAAGGCTGCTACAGCACAAATAAACCATATGAATCTGAGCATGGTGGCTCATACCTGTAATCCCAGCACTTTAGGAGGCCAAGGTAGGATTGCCTGAGGTCAAGAGTTCAAGACCAGCCTGAGCAACATAGCAAGACCCTGTCTCTACAAAAATAAAAATAAAAACTGATTCATATAATATGCTATAATAATGTTTCCTTTCTTATACAATTCTTTGGTAACTCTGGAATTAATACTTACTGTGCCTGTTACCTTTTTTAAAAAAATACTTTTTATAATCCATCCCTAAACTCTTTGCTACATTTTCAATGCTTCTTTCAGCATAGTTAAGCACATTAGGTAATCTTTGGCTACAAATTTCACTCCCCTGGAGACAGCCCTCGTGTTGTAGTTTGGATTGTTTGTTTTCTGTATCTGCTGAAATCTGTTGTCCAAGGCTTCTATTTAACCATCATCCTGGAAATTTTCTTTGACTTTCTTTTTGTGATAAATCTTGTATCGCAGATCCTTTGTATTTTCACACTTCCCTTGTTTACTTCTTCATTTTGAGTGGACACTTTTTCCTATAGATTGCGGAGAAGTATTGCATGGCTAAGTACAGAATTCTAGGATGGAAATCATTTTTTCCTCAAAATGTTCAAGGTATTATTCCATTGTCTTCTAGCTTCCAATGAGAAGTCTGCTGCTGTTTTTGTCTAGTCTGTTATATTATTTTCTCTCCGAATGCTCTTACAATATCTCTTCTAAGAAAACCCAATATTCCAAAATAATTTTGAGATAATATGTGTATGAATTCATCTTTTAAAATTCATTTTACTGGATAACATCTGAGTTCTATTTATTTATTTTTTATTTTTTATTTTTTTTGAGATGGAATCTCACTCAGTCACCCAGGCTGGAGTGCAGTGGCACGATATCAACTCACTGCAACCTTCACCTAGGTTCAAGCAGTTCTCGTGACTCAGCCTCCTGAGGAGCTGGGATTGCAGGCACATGCCACCACGCTCAGCTAACTTTTGTATTTTTTACTGGAGACAGGCTCTCACCATGTTGGCCAGGCTGGTCTTGAACTCCTGACCTCAAGTGATCCACCCTCCCTGGCCTCCCAAAGTGCTGGGATTACAGGCATGAACCATTGCACCTAGCCTCTGAGTTCTTTTAAGTCAGAAACTTGAGCTCTTCAGCTCTGATAAATTTGGGGGGCAAGGGAGGTAATTTTTTCTTTTTCTGTTTCTTTTTTTTAAGACGGAGTCTCGCTCTGTTGTTCAGGCTGGAGTGCAATAGTGCGATCTTGGCTCACTGTAACCTCTGCCTCCCAGGTTCAAGCGATTCTCCTGCCTCAGCTTACTGAGTAGCTGGGACTACAGGCCTGTGCCACCACTCCCAGCTAATTTTTGTATGTTTAGTAGTGACAGGGTTTCAGCATGTTTGTCAGGCTGGTCTCAATCTCCTGACCTCAAGTGATCTGCCTACCTCATCTCCCCAAAGTGCTAGGATTACAGGCATGAGCCACCACACCTGGCCTTTGAGGGGTATTATTTCTTCGACAAGTTTTGCCTTTCAAATTGTATCTGTTGTCTCTTTCAGGAACTCTGTTTAGTTTATATTTTGGATCTTCTAGATTAATCCTCTAATTTTTAAAAATATCTATACTGTTCATCTCTTTGACAAAGTTCTAGTTTCTACTTTATACTTTTTCCTTAATTTTTATTTTCCAACTCTTATTTAAATTTCTGTCATATTTTGTTCATTTCTAAGAGTTATTTTATATTTTTTTCACTGTTCCTTTTTTTCTTTAGGCTAGTCAAGTGATTATTGTTCCTTTTTTAATTGTGTCATATTATTGTTTTAGGGATACAAAATCTCTTACCTTTCTAAGAATTGATTATACTTGGGCATATTTTATATTTAGGGGAGAATAGGGGTTTTTTGTTTGTTTTATATTGTTGCTGTTGTTTTGTTGTTCAGTTCTCCTGTTTTTTAACTTTCTTTTTCTGTTTTGTAGTTTTGTTCTCTGTTATGATAGATCTCAAATGTCTTGTGGTCTTCGGTTGTCCACAGTGAAAAATTGTTTTGAAGCACTTGGGGCAGAGCTTATAAACCAACAGATTTGGCCAGGCATAGTGGCTCACACCTGTAATCCCAGCACTTTGGGAGGCCGAGGCGGGCAGATCGTGAGGTCAGGAGATCGAGACCATCCTGGCTACACGGTGAAACCCCGTCTCTACTAAAAATACAAAAAATTAGCCGGGCATGGTGGCGGGCGCCTGTAGTCCCAGCTACTCAGGAGGCTGAGGCAGGAGACTGGCATGAGCCCAGGAGGGCAGAGCTTACAGTGAGCCGAGATCGCACCACTCCACTCCAACCTAGGTGACAGAGCGAGACTCCATCTCAAAATAAAAATAAAAATAAACCAATGGATTTTACTGTGATAAGATACCAGTCTGCTTTTTTTAGTAAGACACCCCCAAATGCCAACAAGTATATATAGATCTTTTCTCTTGGATTGGTAAATTTTTCCAGAGAGGAATCAACCAATCTTCTAGCAACCCTGGGAGAGCCACACTGGGGACAGAGACTGGAAAGCAGATTTTTACTGAATCCCTCTGTTTTCAGACATGTCACTCTCAACTGTAACAAAAACTAATGGTTTCATATCCTCAGTAGCTTAGTCTCACCAAAGATTAACTTCATCTTTTGGAATGCGGAAGACACAGAAGCTTGATTGTATTAAAGAAGATGTGGAGTTTTAACTGAACCCTTTAAAAAGTTGTAACCAGACCTCTTTTTTGCAATACCTCTCTACAGTCATCTTCAGAGATAGTCATTACCCTCCATTTTCAAACCGTTACAGGGTCCCACAACACTAAGGAACTTTGTGTTTTGTTGGTTGCCCATCTATCCATTTCAGGCTTACGCTTTAGATTTTTCTGGTCTGATAATCAGTTACCCCATTGTATGTGATACCTGCTTCTGAAATTTTATTGGCATCTCTCATGTTTTGTTACCTCCTCTCCCATTTTATTTATTCTTGTAGTTTAATTTTTGTTCCTTGCTGTCATTTAAGCGTTAAGAAACAGCAGAGATAGAGTGCATGTTTAATCTATTGCATTTAAATAAAAGTCTCCGAATACTTTTTAATTCCTCATCTGGTATTGCCTTCCTCGCTTATATACCGGTAACATGGAAATACTAGTTTTCTTTCTTCTTTACCGCTTCATTATTTGTTGCTGGTAACTTGAATTGATAGCCTTGGCCCTCGGAGAGGAAATTTGCTGATGCTAATTTAGATCTGAGAAATCCTAGCAAAGAGGCTTGGGAAAAGACAGGTTTGTATGATAAGATTATTTTGCAAAGTGCATGAAGATACAAGCTGATTAATAATTCATTTATGCTGTCTGCCTGCGGTAAGTGGGTGTAGCTGACAACTATAGTATAAATTGCCATCTTGAATTGGATGATGCCTGCTTATAAGTATTTGTAGTTTAGTGATGTAATGGTTCAAGAGAAGACTTCTTAAGTGTACTCATATTTGAGGACCATAGTTCTCAACAAAACTTAGATCAGTGCTAACCACACCCTTTCATCAAGGCTTAGAGTTAAATAATACTGAAAAGTAGACCTAGGAGCAGTGAAGGACACTTTTAAGTAAATGTAAAATAAGATCTCATAACTATGCATTATACCAATAATTGTATTGAATAGCAGTGATATTATCATCTAGCAAGAGGCTATTGACCTGTGTTCCTGCCACTGTTCTTTGGTTCTGAATATATCTGGGACTGATTGATTAGATCAGTTC